TGTCTGCATCCTTCACACCCTTTAAGAAGATTTCATCTCCATGTAAATAACGATTTTCAAATAAGAGAAAATCATGAACCTTCCAAAAATGGCAAAATATATAAGGATAAAGAGATATAGACAATAAACCTATTGGAGTAGAATAATCAGTTTTTCTACATCTTCAAAGAGTTCTGAAAAATGTGTGAGTTTGCCATAAGTTTATTGAGAAGCAGGGCTTGATCCAAGACTCATACTGTAGAAAGACATATGAAGAAGATATGGAGACTGTTTCTTTGATGATCACAATGATTGCAGGAGGTGTATCAATTCCATGAGCAGCCAGAGTTTGATCGGTAAGACAAAACTTTTGCCATCAAATTCAAGAGGAAATATTTCATTTTTGGTGTAGTATAAACTTGCCAAATATGATTACTCGATTTGATTAGAAACATGATATGAGGTGAGTTAATAACCATTTTTGCAATTAAATAAACACTAACTGAATTTTGCAATTTCTAAACAAATATGTAACTAACAAATTTTTTTGTATTTATAAACAGATTTAAGGCGGAAATATTCAAGTAAACATTAATATAAAACTACTTCTAAAAAGAAATGTATACCATAACGCATAAAAAACGTGACAAAATTACTAACAAAAAATCAACATTGAACAAACAATGATTTAAGATTTTCTTTAAGCCATAAAAAAGAATATACATAATTTATATTATATAAAAGCTAAATATATACTATTATGATCAAAGTTTATAAACTAATAACACGATGTGTAAGTTAAATGTACTGAAAAATAAATTATATGTTGTTTATAGCATTTTAAGTTAACATAACGAATTGAAGTTATTTTAAATAAACATCGTGTTACATACAAATACTGTTGACATCTAATTTTAAGAATTTCACTATACATATTTAAAAATATATTTCTGTTTAGAAAATGATTAACACGTCACAATAGTTCATAAATTAACATTATATTTTACTAATATATTATAATGATTTGAATATCTTCAAGTAAGTTTTGGTCATTAGACATACACAAACATTTTTGTTACCGGATATGATCTAAACAATATTTTTGTATGTCAAGATTTGATCTCAACACGATATTATATATCTAAAAACTTTTGTTTTCCAGAGAATTTTGGTATTGAAATATTATTAAATTTTAATTGTTGATTTTTGCAGTTTAAAAAAAATTCTTTAAAAATATATTTTAAACCTGATTTAAGATACAGACCCGCGTGTGCGTGGGTGAAAATCCTAGTCCAAGATCTCTCAACATCTCCAATCTCCATCGTCATTGGTCGCGGTCGAGAGGGCGGATCTGAAAAGTTATATAATCATAACTCATAAGTCCAAGCCCATATCCATTGTCAAGTGTAGTTTTCATCGAAAAGTCTGGCCCATTTTCTTTAAAACGATATTTTGTAGTATCTTTTTAGGTATTAAATCGCTTCACCGCATTAGATATTTCCGGTGCTTAGGAAAAAGAGAAAAACAAAAAAGCAGCAGAGAAATTTCAAGTTTCAAAGAGTTTTTCCTCTCATCAAGCAAACGTTGGTTAGTGAATTATCAAATCTAGCTTCCCTATTTTGTTTATCTTCCCTTTGTTAAACTCGATTTCGTTTTCCTTTGATCTCATCTCTTCAATCAATCGGCGAAAGCTTTCCCCTCTCATCCTTGACGTTTTGTAATTATTCGATCTGTTTCCAGATTTAGCTTTATAAATTTGACCTATCACCTCCTCTGTTTTGTTTTTGTGATATCTTAATCGAATCGTTTTCAAATCGCTTTATAAAGTTGGAAATTTTTTGAAAACGTTTGTCGTTGATGCTTAAAACAAGATGTGAAGCTGGGTTCAAATTTTCTGTCGTATTATGTTCCGAAGCTGGGACAAAATATATGTCGTATTATTCTGTTTTTTGACATAAAAGAAGATGTACAGATTTGTCAACTCTCGTTAACAGTGGTGGTTGCTATTTGCAGATATTCGTCAGCAAAATCTGCAGCTAAACCGCTTCCTGTATATGATAGCTTGTTTTGATTGTTAAAGGATTGTGGTTACTTATTGCTGTTGCACGGAAGAAGATTACAATGGGAGAGGAGCATCAGAGAAAGCGTTCTCGGCAACATTTCGAAGCAGATGCGAGGCAAATATCTCCTAAATGCGAAACGTCAAAGTGGTATTTCAGCAGAGAAGAGATTGAGCGTTTCTCTCCATCGAGAAAGGATGGGATTGACCTCGTGAAGGAGTCATTTTTACGGTCTTCGTATTGCACTTTCCTTCAAAGACTTGGGATGAAGCTTCATGTGTAAGCTCACAATAGTATTCTTTGGTCTTTGAGTAATGTTTTTGGCAACTAGTGTTCGTTCTCTGCTTGTTAGGCTTCGTTGAATATACTCTCTTTTTCTTGTCTTTCTGATATATGATACTTCTTGCTACATTTTTAGTTAAAGAGGGTGACAATGGATAGCCTAACTGTTGAATTTTGTCCTAGGGGCCACTGTGGGAGGTGGTCTGGAGGTTCTCGAACTATAGTTTTGTCTACATAGTTATCTCATGAATGGAGAATTATGTAATTATAGTAAAAAAATTGGTGTCCATGCAATGCATCATATATACATATTGGCTCACTTCTCATCGGCAATGGGATAGGAGGCTTGCATCTGTCGTGAATTTGCTTGGGGAGCTGTTTATACATATGATCTTCTGATATTTGTAATTCTCTGCTGGGTTATCAAAACCCTCAGCTGTTCCTACCCATTACCAACTGATGTTCTTAGTTTTCTGAGCAAGTGCACGTCTCTCTCTCTCTCCGGCCTACTATTTTTGAATCATCTATCATAGGTACTTGTGTTTTTATTTGTCCTTTGCATTAATCACACCGTGTCAGAAAAAGTTTCAATGCTGGTTTCGGTGAAAGCTTTTGTCTGGCGTTTAGTTGCTCAAGTTATTATAATATTTTGGTGATATGGTTTTTTGGTGCTATTGAAGGTTTCTGACTATCTCATTGCTTCAGGTCCCAGGTTACAATCGGAATCGCAATGATGATGTGCCACAGGTTTTACATGCGCCAGTCTCATGCCAAAAATGATTGGCAGGTAAGACTGCTTTGTATAAGTATGGCTCATCCATTGCTAATCTATTACCTCTTCTAATTATTATAATTCTCACTTTTGGTGATTTTGCAGACAATAGCAACATCCAGTCTGTTCCTCGCTTGCAAAGCTGAAGATGAGCCATGTCAACTGTCCAGCGTTGTTGTTGCGTCTTATGAAATAATTTATGAGTGGGATCCTGCTGCCTCAATGAGAATCCATCAAACTGTAAGTATTTATATATCCTTCCTATCTATTGCTAAATATGTTGTGTGCATTGTGCTAACATAGTACTCGTCACTATTTACTGTAGGAATACTACCATGAATTTAAAGAATTCATCTTGGCCGGGGAGAGGCTTTTGCTGGACACAAGTGCTTTCCATCATCTAGACATCGAACTTCCTTACAAACCTCTTGCTGTGGCTTTGAATAGGCTTAACGCTTGGCCTGACCTTGCGACAGCTGCGTGGAACTTTGTGCATGATTGGTAAATACCCTTGTTAATAATAGTTTTTTGCGCGCTTTTGTCCCCACACACGAGCTTGAATAATCTTGTAATTCATTGCGTTGTAGGCTTCGGACGACACTATGCTTGCAATACAGACCCCATGTCATTGCAACAGCCACTGTGCACTTAGCTGCCACGTTTCAGAACGCAAAAGTAGGCAGCAGGAGAGATTGGTGGTTGGAATTTGGAGTAACAACTAAGCTATTAAAAGGTTTGTCGTTCAAACACTTTTTTTATTTAGTTGTCTATTACTATTGCCAGTAGTGGAATGCAGTGTATCTCTAATATTGGCACTGAGAATAGGTGTTGTTAAGATAGATCGGATCCAAGAGGGCATTTTGGCCTCTTACTTACAGTATGCAACTATTGAGTTTGGAATTAAAGGACGAGCTGTTTCTTGTCAATAATGACAGAGGTGATCCAGGAGATGTGCATACTGATGGAAGTAGACAGAAGGAGGACTATGCCGGCGCCGCCTCCGCTTCCAAGAAGAGAGTTAGGTTGGGCAATGCCTGCAGCGATGAAGCCGGTCCATATGGCTAGAGGCTATCCGTTTCACAGCTATCCTCTGCAGTCTTATAGACAGCCTGGCATCTGGTGAGCCCATTGTTCAGCAGCATGACCATGTATGTAATCTCTCGAGTTTCTGTCGGCAAACAAAAGAAGGAGACTCATGGAAAGAGAGGCACTAGTGTAAGGTTATATAATAGTAATGCGACTGAGGTGCTTTTTTTGGCTAAGTTTTAAGCCTCTCTCATGTATGACCATCGTCACCGGAGTGATTCTTCTTCTTTGTTCTGTTACAGAGGAGAGATTATGTATAGAGTTGTTGGTTATACAAGTTTATTATTATATATACTAGCAGACTTCATGTCATTTGTATATCTGGAATCTATGTTGAGTCTTTCTATCAAATTGGTTTTTTTAACTTGTTTGGTTTGATGAGGAGCTATTAGCTGTATGTATGATCATCTCCTGACCCCTACAAGGTTATCTAATCCACTAATCAAAAGTATAACTCACACTTGGAAGAAATATAAGCAAGGATTATGTCTAAACACACACAAAGCTATATTTCTGGAGATAGAAGCATTAAATTTTGAATGGTGAGAATTTGGGACCGAGACAATCTTTTTAACGAAAGAGCCATATCAATATTTGATACTATATCATATCATCATGTCAAGTGATAATTAATCTCTCTGAACTTTGTTATGTCAATATTTGATATTTTATTATTTTATTATATCAAAAAGAAAGTTCGATGAACTTATTTGTAAACCAAACTGTATTGTTTCCCCTGAATTGTAGACATAAGTACACAACCTGATTCTAGTTAAGTTTCCATTTTTTATTTACCTTTTTTATTCAATTAAATATAAATCGGTAATCCTCATATCATTATCAGGAGATCCCTCCTCTCTCTCTCCTCTCTCCCAACTCGCGAACAAAGCAAACCCTAGATCATCAATCGGACGCAGACGGCAGCTCCTCGTCGGCAATTCCTTCAACCGCCGGCGGATACTCTTTCACAGATCTCTCAAACTGTTCCATCTCTCTAACAGTTTGTACGCCTTCTCTCTCTTTCTTCCCTTTGGTGATCTCTCTACCATTGTCTCTGTGGTTCTCAGCTCTATTTTCGAGCGCTGCTTTGCGTCAGTGTCGATTTCACCTCGCTGTGCCTATTTCGTTGGTTTGTATCTGATTATTTGCTTCTTGTTTCCCCTGAATCCAGTACCCGACTATGTTCTACGCAAATGATCTGCAGTAGTTCCTTAACCTCTTCTTTTACCTTCAATTTCAGAACATAGCTTATTAGAGAAATCTATGGCTTTAGGATTACTCGAGTTCGTATTGATACTAGTCTATGTCCATAGAATGAGTTGATTATTCGTGGAGCCTTGGGTTTATTTTATTTCTCGTGCTTTCTTGTTAAATTACATTTTTTTGTCTCTTTGTAAATCAGGGTGGAAATTCTGCCATGGCGGAGCATTTGGCTTCAATCTTTGGTACTGAGAAGGACAGAGTGAATTGCCCATTCTACTTTAAGATTGGCGCTTGCCGTCACGGTGACCGGTGCTCTCGTCTCCACAACCGTCCCACAATCTCCCCAACACTCCTCCTCTCCAACATGTACCAAAGGCCTGACATGATAACCCCAGGAGTCGACGCTCAGGGCCAACCGCTGGACCCACGCAAGATCCAGGAGCATTTCGAGGATTTCTTCGAGGATCTCTTTGAGGAGCTCGGCAAGTTTGGCGAGATTGAGAGCCTCAACATTTGTGACAACCTCGCTGACCACATGATTGGCAACGTCTATGTTCAGTTTAAGGAAGAGGACCAGGCTGCAGCCGCTTTGCAGGCTCTGCAAGGTAGGTTCTATTCGGGACGTCCCATCATCGCTGATTTCTCTCCCGTGACGGATTTCCGCGAAGCCACGTGTCGGCAGTATGAAGAAAACAACTGTAACCGTGGCGGCTACTGTAATTTTATGCACGTGAAGCTTGTTTCGAGGGAGATGAGGAGAAAACTCTTTGGGAGGTATAAGCGGTCATACCGCAGGGGAAGCAGGAGCAGGAGCAGGAGCAGGAGTATTAGCCCAAGGCACAAGAGAGAGTATGACAGGCGTGATCCTCCTCCTCACAGGGAATTCAGTCACCGGGACAGAGATCGTGAGTTTTACCGGCATGGAAGTGGGAAAAGGAGCAGTGAGAGGTCTGAGAGGCCAGAGAGGGACGGTTCAAGGAGGAGGCAAGGGAGCCCTGGTGGTGGGAGAGAAGGAAGTGAGGAGAGGAGGGCAAGGATTGAGCAATGGAACAGAGAAAAGGAGGACAAGGACAAGGAAGAGGGAGGAGCATAAAAAAAAACGAAATTATAACTGTTGCAATGTGGCTTATGAGGATCTGCTTCTGTGCCTTTGGCTGATTGTTTCCGAAATCGATAAAATCTGGTAATGGATTTTATCATTTGGCTGTTCTAATTTGGGAACTTGAAATGAGTGGAATCAACTTCTTTAGATTAGAGAGATGTTGGGGTTACTTTCTTGTAGTTTTAATTAGGAAGAACAATGTTGTTGTCTCGTCCCCTTGTTATTGATTGTCGCCAGTGTTCCTTGGAACTTTGTACTATCTTCTGTTGGGTTTAAAAGAGCCTAGTTTCCTTTAAAAGTGTCGTTTGTACAAATGCGTAACAACTAAGGACTAAAATCTCGAAATACATTTTTTGCATTCGTTTGTTCGGTCGTTTATTTGTACATAATATAAAGTGACAAACACTTTGGGCCTCTGATTGCATATTTGCATTGATTGGGTTTCGACTTCCCTCAACACTTTGTTTTTTTTTTTTTTGCTAAACTGTAAATATCATATTAATGAAGATAGTTTGATTTACAAAGAGCAAACCTAAACAAATGGTTCCTCGGCAAAAAAGATTAAAAAACAAGGAAGCATAAAGCAGAAATTGATGACAACTTATCGGAGCCAATGGCTCATGAGATTCTCAAAATCACGACGACTCCTTCTTGCATTGATCGTGTTGATGATGTGCCTGTCTAAGTCTCTGAAAATACAGAGAGGAGTAACCGAGACAGAATTATGTAAGAGATTATTTCTCTGCTTCCAAATACCGTTCACCACCGCTTGGGTCACTAACTTGCGAAGCATTGATGGCGAGTTGTTGCTGTTTCCACAAGTCCACGTGAGGAGGCCAGTCCAAGAGCTGAAGTCTGGCTGAGATGGGTCTATCCTTGCCATGACTTCTCGCCATATAGTGGAGCTAAAGTGGCAAGACAACATGAGGTGATCTCTTGATTCGGGCTGGGAGGAACACAAAACACACACTGGCGAAACCTGCAAACCCCAGGCGACCAATCTCGATCTAACTGGCAGCCGATCAAGAGTGGCTATCCACATTGTGAAGGCGTTTCTAGGCGTAGCTCCTTTGAACCACACTGAGGCGGACCAAGACTTCTCAGCTTCTCTTGGTCTTACTATTTCCCAAGTCTTAGCCGCGGAGAAACCATGGCAATTCTGGTCTTTAACGTACCAGTGGTAAGAGTCACATTTAAGTGGGTCTAAAGGGAGAGCGATTGTCGATAGAAAAATATGGAGCGCCAATGCCCTTTCTGATCTTGGAGCAGCTAAAGACCACGAGGAACCATTGCATACTTCAGAGACTTTCATTTAGAGGAATCCGTAAGTTTCTTGGGCCCTCTTGCCCTAAATAGTTAATAAGAGGACCGAAGGGAGTCCAAATGTCACCCCAAAAACTTGTTTTCTGACCATTACCCAGGGTACACCTTAGAAACTTTCCTGCTAGAGGACGCAACCTTAGTAAACTTCTCCAAGTCCAAGACTGTGAGTTGCTTTCACTCTGCATCCAGAAATTAGAGACGTCGTTATGGTTATGATGCTTATGCCAAGCCACCCAGAGTGAGCCGCTCGAAGAAAACAGCAGCCAAATGAGACGCAAATTAAGGACTCTGTTCCAGTCTATGCAACGCCTCAAACCCAAACCTCCCTCCGCTTTAGGTAAGCAAACCGTAGACCAAGCAACTTTAGCTTTGTTGCACATATCAATAGTGCCTGACCACAGGAATCTTGAGCAGAGAGATTCAATCTGTCGAATCCCTTTGGAAGCAAAAACGTAGATGCCCAAAAATTAACAGTTCCTGAAATAACTGAGGCTATTAACTGCAGCCTGCCTGCGAAAGATAGTGTTCGTACCGACCAAGTAGTGAAACTCTTAGAAATTTTCTCCACAAGAGGGGCATACTCGTTAATCCGCAGCTTCCTGCTCATTAAGGGAAGGCCTAGGTATCTTATGGGGAAAGAGCCGATAGGGAATCCGTAACAAGCAATGGATGCGGATTCATTAAGACTCAAACCTGCCATGAAGAGCTCCGTCTTTTCCTTGTTCATATGAAGACCTGACCAGCCAGCAAAATCATCCAACGTCTCATTGATACCATGTAAAGAAGAGCTCATACCGTCAAAAAATATCATGACGTCGTCAGCGAACATCAGGTGAGAGATATCTAGCTCAGACGTGTTGGGATGGTAGGCGATGTAACCTGAAGAGTATCTAGATTGCAACAGCTTCGAGAAAACCTCCATGACTAATACAAAAAGATAGGGTGATATAGGGTCACCCTGCCTTAGTCCTTTTGTGCTTCGGAAAAAACCTCCTTCAACCCCATTCACCGTGATTGAGAAAGACGGAGTTGTTAGGCATTCTGAGATCCACCCAATGAACTTTGAAGGGATATTCAAGCCTTTTAACGCAGCGATAACAAAAGTCCCATCTCACTGAGTCGAACGCTTTCCCATCTCAACACTTTGTTAGAATTAGAACATTCTTGTTTGATTTGATTGGCTGATAACACATTTGCAGAAAGTTCGGACAATCACAGCGAAGGTTGACAACGTATTTTCATGTCTTTCTATGTTTATTGAAATGATTTAAACTAAAGTAAATTCCTCAGTTTTTGGCCAAGAGTTGATGTTTATGTTGTGAACTTTTGCTGTGGATTCAGCATGTCTTAGTTTTGATGGGTTCAGCGTCTGCATACAGAAACGCAACCAGACACGCGTCTGTAAAGTATATATATATTTTTATTAAGATATGTGATCTGAAATCTAATCATCTGGTCCAATATGATCGATAATCATGTTTAGAAATCAGTATTATCCATGATAACCAGGTTCTAATTCGTGCTACGCGCGGGTCTGTGTTAATAATTTTATTTAATCCACTAATAACTTTAAAATTATAAAATTGTAATGAATGTCCAATTATGTTATTTTTCAAATGTACTTAAAAATTAATTTATTATTTTGTCTTCTTTGTATTTTTTTTAGCATATGATTTTGTTAAGTAAAATTATAATAAAACAATTGAAAAGAGAAAAATGTGGATAACATTTGATTTTAAGTTTAATTTATAGATCATTTTTGCAACTATCCAATAATTTATCTCATTAAAACGTATTTAATTGTAGTAAATAATATTTGTCTATTTCTATAATCTTCTATAGGAATTTGTAGGAACCTCTGAAACATTTTACAAAATTTTGTTAGCTATTTTCATAATTGTCAACTACCTGCATAAAAATAGTACATCTTTACATAGCATGCCGATTTAAAATCTTGATATATTGTTATAATGTGTTAACTCAAAACTTCATAGTTGTTTTCATTGTATGATTAGAATCCTAGAGAGGTTCGGAGAGCCAAACTAGCGGAACAATGTATAAACCCATAATAAAATCCTTAAATATCTTCGTTTAACAAAACCCATAATAAAATTGTATGTATAAACTTTAGATATCTTCATTAGAAAGGACTCAACATAAGAACTTAGATATTTTATATGTTTTGTTCATTGCTTCATAAAATTCGGCATAAGAATATATCATAAACTTTTATTTTTCAACAGTATGACAACATGATCGACCTAAACAAATATTGTTTTTTAGTAAACTGTATCAGAAACTTGTAAAAAATAAATTTGTAGTTTGCCTTCTTGTTAGTAAACTAATTAAAATTTAATATTCTAGATTACAACAGCCTTTAACTTTGCTTGAGAATAACCTATTCAATTAGTTTGTGTTGTTGTTTATGACCAAGAAAAATTTAATCTTTTAGACTACACCAACTTTAATTTGCTTCATAATAGCCTATTCGATTATATCCCCTACGAATTGTAGTTGACTAAAACATAAGTCTAAATACTTTAGAAAAAAGTTTTTTCTTATACTAAATTATGAGTTAATTTCTTTTTAAATGTGGTTTAGTATGAATCTTTTGATACTCTAGCAGCATCACTCTATATAAAAATAACTATATTTGTTTCTTTGAAATTACCAATTTTGGTGACAGATCTCGAATATACTTGAAGATTATAGAACCTCATTTGAAGGAAGCCAAGCGATGCACATTGTTGTCATTTAATTTATTCTTCCTTCTTGATGTCTTCTTTAATCTATGTTTTTTTTATTTTTGTTTGTTTTATTCTTATTCGATATCATTCTGCGTTAATTTTGTAACATCCACACACCAAATTGCTGCTGTCCAGAAGTGGTGTCTAGCAACACCAAGAGGGTGTCGGTCGACACCAATGATTGAGATTCGGTTCCAGTTCAATCTTAGTCATTTTATTTCTGGTTTGGACTAAAGGAAAAGCCCTAGACTCAATTTAAAAGAAGGTGGCCGCATTTTTGAGCTCAGTTTTCGAGGCAGAGAGCAAAGAGGAGGCGATTTTCGGAGATTTGTGGAGTTCTTGGTTGATCCGAAGTGCTGTTCGTTGTGGTTCATCATCTCTCTCTCATTTTCCCCTTTCTCAATCCGTTTTTAAGGTGAGTGCGTGACCGTAGGCTCGTGATTCACTAGAGTTTGAGTTTTGTGTTGAGTTCATGTTGTGTTTTTGTTATTTCGTTGTTTTTTTTTTTTTTTTTTTTTTTGACCTCCAAACTCATGTTTATTGATATTATCCGGCCGAGTTAGTTTCGAGAACCAACCAGCTTGGGATCATAGGATCTACATGAGTAAAACAAAAACCTTGTGCTCGTGCTCCTTTTGAGAGACGGTCCGCACGTACATTTAGTAACCGTGGAATAAACGACAGTGAGAATAAAGTAAAAGAAGATCGAATAGTATGTAATTCATCTAACTCCGATGTCATTGACGGCCAATCTTCTTCATTGTCAACGATTCTCACAAGTTGCAGGCAATCTGTCTCAAACGATAGTGACGTTATATCCAGTTCCAGAGCTTTCTTCATTGCCCAAACCAGGGCTGCAAGTTCGGCATGGAGTGGTGTGGAGACTTGGTATTCCGCCATGGCACCAAAAAGTCGTTCGTTGTTTACTGTTTCAAGCACGAAACCACCTCCGAAGACATTACACTCTCTACTCCAAGAGGCATCGGTTTGACACTGTGATGCTGTTATTATTGAGTCTGTTTGAACAACAGGACTGGAGATAACATTATCACTCACGGTTTTTTCTACCAATTGTGCCAGCTCCATGTTTCCGATTCTGCACATGCAAGTTGGAAGGTGTTTAAGGACGATATATCTTTATTATTGAAGACTTTGTCGTTCCTCGCCTTCCATAGGTACCAAAGGATCCATGGGAATCTTGCTATCGTTGTCTCTGGAACCTTTTCTTCTTTCGCACGCCAAAACAGATGGTCCACGTTTTTGTATAGAGCGTCACACGGGAATATGCCCGGATGAGTTGGAAACTCGGATATACTCCATACTTGTCTCGCCATTGGACCATTGAAAGAGGAGATGATTTACTGTTTCTGGTGCTGTTTCGCATCTAGGGCAGAGGCGTTATGTGCCACAGTGTCGTTCTACAAGAGAGTTTCGAACCGGCAGACAGCCGGCTATAGATTGACACATAAAGTGTTTAATCTTCCTTGACGTTTTCGTCGTCCATACTCTGTTTTTTAGTGGGTTGATACTCGGTTCGAGAACCTGTGGAGATTCACGATCTTCTTTTAGCTGTGATGCTAAAGCATAACCTGACTTTACCGAGTAAGTTCCTGATTTGGTAAAAGCCCAGACGAAGCTATCCATCTGTGTGAGACGATTTGGCTTGATACAACGGATTTCCTCCGTCGTAAAGAGCTGGTCCAAGACATTAGCTCTCCACGTCATTGTCCGGTGATCTATCAAGTGGTAAACTAGTAAATATGGGTCCTTGAAGCCTCCTTTGCCCACTAGTTGTCTCGGTGGTGTTACCGGAATCCATGCATCACTCCAAACCGCCGTGTTGGCACCAGAGCCAATATTTTTTCGAAGGCCAGCTTTTAGAAGATCTCTTGCTGCAGTAAGGCTCGTCCATACATACGATGGAGTATTCACTTTTTGACAAACCAGTGGGTTTGTGTGTAAGAAGTATCGTCCTTTTAGGATCCGTCCGAGTAAGGAGGATGGATATTGTATAAGTCGCCAAAGTTGCTTCGCAAGTAAATTCTCTTGGCCACAAAGGCTGACTGTGTTTGAAGAGATTCCTCTCCGAGTAAGGAGGATGGAGATTGAAGATTGAAGATTGAAGAGATTCCTCCTTCGCAAATTCTCTTGGCCACAAAGGCTGACTGTGTCTCCGAAATAAGTTTCGGGAGGAATCTCTTCAATCTTTTGCAGAGAACTTTGGAAATGATTTTGTAGCTAACATTGCATAAGCTTATTGGTCTAAATTCTGACATTTCTTGAGGTCTCTCTGATTTTGGGATCATGCAGATGTTGGTTTGGTTGAGGCGTGCGTCAAAGGAGTCGGAGGTGAAAAATTCTTTTACCATTGCTATAACATCTTTCGTCGTGATTTCCCAAAATTGTTGATAGAAAAGGCTAGTCATTCCATCTGGCCCTGGAGCTTTCTCTGGGTTGATGTCTCCGATGGCCAGTCTGATCTCCTCATTGGAGGGAGGTTTGGTTAGAAATTGATTGATATCAGGGTTTACTTTCTCAGTAACATACCAGAGAGCCTCGTCAAAATCGGTAGGGTGTGACGAGGTGAAGAGGTTTTGAAAATAATCTGTCGGCACCCTCTCTATGTCCTCCTCTGTTTCTGCCCACGAACCGTCCCCTCTTTTTAACTTTCTGATGCGGTTTCTTGCTCTACGTTGTTTGGTGGTTGCATGGAAAAATTTCGTGTTACGGTCCCCTTCCTTTAGCCATGTAACCCGGTTTTTTGCTTCCAATAAAGTTCTTCTTCTCTAAAAGCCGAGCATCAGTCCCATTTCAGTTTAAGGACCTCATCATTCGTCATGCTATCGTTGGTTTGGGCATGGTCCAACAACTTTTTGTTATCTTCGATTTTCTTTATAGAGTTGGACTGATTTGTTTTCTTCCAGCGTGAGAGGGATCGTCGGCAAGTTTAGACTTTTGTATAGACATCTTCCAGGTCCGAGATGTTTGTTTGATCCCATCCTTCTTCTATAGATTTCTTCAGACCGTCCTTTCCTAGCCATCTTTTATCAAATTTGAATCCTCGTTGTGCCGTGCCAGGTTTAGACAAGATTCTGGTTAGTATTGGCCTGTGGTCTGAACCCCAAAGTTTGAGATACTCCACATTAGTGTGGGAAAAATCATGATGCCAGTCTTCGTTTCCAACGGCTCTGTCAAGTCGGCATTGCACTTTTCCACATCTCCTATATCCGACCCATGATTTTGAGTTCCCCTTAAAGGGAAAATCGATCATGCCGCAATTGTCAATCATATTTCGAAATGGAAGAAAGGATGATTCAGATCTTTTACGTCCCCCTCTCTTTTCCCAATTGCCAATCATTTCATTGAAATCACCCATAATGAGCCAAGACCCTTGTCTGTTATGGCTAAGTTGGACAAGACGGTCCCAAAAAGCTTCTCATCCATCAACGACCGGATCTCCATATACGAACGAAATGAACACTTGTTTTCCTTCGATTTTAGCTTCAATATCAATCATTCGTTTGTCCGCAGAGATTATTGTAACATCAAAAGAATCAAAATAAAAAAGAGCTAGTCCACCGCTTGTACCTTCCGGTTCCACGGTGCATAATTTATTATAAACAAAAGAAAACTGAAAATCTTGCATAACAGAATTAATGTTTGTTTCTGAAAGAAAAAGAAAAGATGGTAAAAAACAGCGGTGCAGCTCATCCATATGCTTCCTTGTCAAATAAGCTCCTGCACCTTGACAGTTCCATGCAATTGTGTTCATATCTTCTTACTGGGTGGTTTCTGGGACACCACCGAACTTAAAACAGCAGAAGAGTTCTTGCTTAGAGCAGAGGGGAACACCTCATTACGAGGGATAAGAGATGGAGCCAAAGTTTTTGATTTTTTACACGTTGTTGGCTTCTTTTTTGGCGATGGTTTGGGACGGAGAGCTTGGAGTTTCCTTGAGGCTTGACTACCTTTCTTCTCCGGACTGGGGACATTTTTCTTCTTTCTTCTGCATTCTGGAGCACCTTCTCCATATTCCTTGGGATCTCTGCTTCTGGTTCCTGCATCTCTTCGTTAAATTCGTTATCCTGCAAAACCATTGGGGAGAGTTGTGTAATAGCATCTATCCTTTCCTCATCAGAGGCCAGCTCTTCTCCGAGGAGGTCGTCGTTTTCCAGCATCACATCATCGAGTGCACTGTCCGCGAGTTCATTAATCATGTAGTCGATTTGATCTGCAGTGTGGGTTTCGTCGAGCTCTCCTTCTTCAGTGTTCACTAGAAACTCTTCCTCCATTGGGGTTAGTAGAGAGGCTGCGGGATCTTGATCTTGATGAGAACCATTTCCTGGGTATGGATCTGGGTTTGAGGCCGGTTCAATGATGGAGAGGCTCTTGAGTGGCGGAGGTTTCTCCATGTACCTCATCATTTTTTCCCCCTTCGAGAGTTCCACCACGTGTTCTTTGCCCTTACGCTTGCTGAGGCGCTCACTCTCAGCTATGTTTGGATATGTGATCAACAAACCTTTAGCTTAGTGCGGCTCCTTTCCATGTTATTTGGTCTTTCGGTTATGGTTTGTTGGGAATCCGATGGAGGTTCCTGTGTCGCTCTGCGAGAGTTGGAGGCTCTAGAAGTTGGGGTATCGAGTTGTTGTTTTTGTTTTGGGCGCCAGACTTGCTAGGAATCTTTTCTCACATACCGAGAGCCTCTCTGTTCATTCGTTGGCTTCTCATATGGGTGGTATCGGTCTTTTCCGGACTGTCTCTTATCCAAATGGCTCCGATCTAGTCGATTCCATACCTCTCGGCCTCTCGAGTCTCTTGTTTTGCTTAGTTCCTGTCGGAGATCTTGGTGTCTCGAGACAGATTTGTCCCTAGCTTGAGATCGAGATTCAGAGTAGCTTGTGTGATCCGATCTCTGACGATATTCACGTTTAGGTACATTGGTCCTTACACGGTCATCGTAGAGGTGATCATCACGTATCTCGGTTCTCAGGCTCACCGATGCTTCTTTTGGTCTTGTAGCATTGGTGGTTGTATTCACTCCATATCCAAACAGAGCTTCTTGTCGGAGCTGTTCCAGCCGTAACCTCTTCTTTTCCTCACGTTGTTCTTCAGTGAGCTCCGGGCATGACGCCTCTTCATGGGACAGGAGTTTGCAAGTGAAGCAGTACGTTTGTAAGCCCTCGTAGGTCAGGGTTACCGAAGCGATATTTCCATTAGGAAAACCCACTTTTCTTTCAAATTGCAGAGGTTTGTCCGCGTTAAGGGAGATTTGGAATTTGGCTCTTTTGGCATCGATGTTAGTGACTGTTCCGAGAGCTTTGCCAATCTCATTGAAAGTTGGATTGTTCCAGAAGTGAACCGGTACACCAGTCACCGAGACCCAAAAGATCATCGTATTAGGGAAATCTTCACACGTGAAGGGTTCCCATTGTTTTAGTGCAAAGCTCCACCGATTAAAGTGCCACGGACGTTTGGCTAAAACCTTGTTCATGTCGTCCACGTGATCGAAATCAAACTGGAACCGACCATTGCCAAGGTTTATTCCATGCGCTCTACCTTCCATATCCCAGATCTTATGCTTCAGGAGAAGGCTTCTGCCTTCACGGTTGAAAGTTCGCCCTATTAGGGTTTGTTTGAACTGTTCTGTTACTGCAGTGAGGTCACAGTCGGGGATCTGGATGATCTCATCATCAACCACAAGTCTTCTGCGGGCTAGGGCTTCCTTCGCGGCGTACGGATCCATTGAGTTGACTCATGCCTTCAGGCTTCTGCACGGGAGAGATGACAACAGATCTCGAGTAAACGTAGCATCCATGCTAGAATCGTGAACGTACTGATCGTACCGTAACCGTAGACAGGAAAGCCTTGGTGAGAACCGTCAAACTATGTGACTAGATCTCGAGGGCTTGGGAGCTTCGGTAAAAAACTTAGCAGAGAGCTAGAAAGGCGATAGCAAGGGGCTAGAGAGAAAACATGTCTTGAAAGGGAGAGCTTTTGCCGTTAAGCTGTAATAAAATTTTGCGGCCAAAAGTTCGTTTTAGAAGAGTCAAAACTCTAAGGGGGAAGGCGCTCTCGTTTTCTCATTTTTTCTTTCACTCTGATTTGTGTACGATTAAGAAACTGTAATTTCGTTGTTTATTCGCTTATTGGGTGTTGACAACCCTTTGCTTTGTTGTTTTTGCAAGTTTCCGTCAATTTTGGAGTTTAGGCTGCGAATCGGTGTCGAGCGACACCATGGGGATACCAAGTCTTATAATGCAAAAGTTCATTTCTACACAAGTGATTTTATAATTCTCTAACAGAGACTAATCTATGATTCTGAAATTTTATAGAAGGACAATACATTTTACCGTATTGTGATGTTATATTTTTTTTTTTGATGCTAATGCCATGAATTCTTCAACAGTTTGAGCAAACTCATCCCTTAACTCACCGGTTGGATCATACTGAAGTTTTTCCATCCATTGACGAAAATAGTTAAAAGAATTTGAAGAGCTTGTTTTGTTTTCTTGATGTTATGAATGAGGATAAAAAGATATTTATAATGATTTTTTTTATGCTTAACCAAAGGATTTTAAAGTTTAATACTGCTACTTCAAATGGTCAATAAATAAGTATAAATTCGTTTAGAATCGGATAATCCGTCTAGAGCTCTATTTGTAGGAAATTTGTAGGGACATACCAACGGCTTTTCGACAGAAATTTAAATTTGAAACAACTACTAAACGAATCTATATTTTCGTGGGGCAATGGTCGAAAATTTACAATGAACGCATAACCATCGAAAATATGTTGGTGTTTCCTAGCCAAATGCCCGACAACTTATCAGCCGTCAGGAATTAGCGACGAATTCCCGAAGAATCTAGTTTTCAAGGAGAGATGTAGCAAAGAACTCGCGGCTCTTCCTAATATGATCATAGGAAGGAACCATGATGGGATCTTGTTGCTGAGCTTGAACCTGAAGAAGCTATATGATTGAGCCAGAGGATGCAATGCTTGTATCAGAAGGACTAATGACTCGGGCAAGATTTACGGAGCTGAGGAATGCACTGAGTGGACTGATTCATGAAGTTCTAGACAAGGAAAGATTTTCTATAAAATTTTTTTATTGTTTAAGCACTCACAATTCGTTTGGTGATGTTAACTACCAAGCCTAGCTTCTTCTAAATGTCATACAGGCCCAAGAAAGCCCAAAATTACTCACTTAATTTTGTGGTTAAAGGAGGTGACGAAAATGGAGCTGAAAAGTCTCTTAGAAGCTAGGAATAGTCATATCAGCTATCTTTATTTCTTTTCTTATTTAAAAAAATTAATTATCTAGCTTTGTCCCCAGGTTTTTTTTCCCTTTATATTCCTGTAACCTCACTTAAGAAAACAACAATTTAATTTTTTTTTTTTTTTTTTTTAGAGTGATTCTCTTTGTTCCTTTGTGAACGTTTCGATCTGTCTTGGTGTGTCATATCCAGGGGATCAACCCGGTTTATCAAGTGTTCTTCATCGCACTTGTGTGGCCTTTCTATCAACTGAGGATAGTTGTTTGCGGTATAAGATAGCATTAGGTGGTGGGTTTAATATAATCACTGTTGGATCTACTTGCATCATCTTTCTAAGGTTACACCGCCTTGTTTCTTTGGAGTTTCACCATTCGATTGGAGTCGAAGATTATCCCTATCAACTTAGAGTGAAAGATCTTGGCTAGAATCGTATCAAGTGGTATCAAAGCAACGCTCTTAAGTTTGGTAATCTATCAATCTATCATTTCTATCATCTTCTTATCTATTCATCTATGGAGAAGAGTATGATCGCACAAATCGGAGCTCGACCCACAATTTGATCGAGTCCGACAAGAAATTGAGAAAGGAGGCTAAATCGTTGAATGAGAAGTTGGACAAGCTTATCTTAGCTCAGTCCACTATGAAGAAAGTTAATTTTGTGTCTGCTGAAGAGATGGAACATGTTCAAGAAGGGGAGGATACACAATTTGCTGAAGTATGTTACATGAGCAATGGGCAAGGAGGCTACAACAAAAGATATTACAATTACAAAGCCAACCCAGCCATGTCTTACAGAAACACTGATGTAGCTAATCCACAAGACCAGGTCTACCCTCAACAACAGCAAGCTCGATCGAGTCAAGCCCCCCAACGTGAATATGGTCCGAAAAACTACTATCACAGCCCTCAAGGGACTTTTCCTGGTCAGCAAATGCACATACCACCTGGTTTTCCCCACCAACCACCCCAGCCTGCACCTACACCTGAGCATGAGCTCAAGGCTATGTTGAAACAATTGCTCCAAGATTAAGCTGATGGTGTTGTGGACACAAGCAAGAAATTGGCTGAAATCAACTCCAAGATTGAGAACCTCAACACAAGAGTGTACTCTCTGGAGAATCATGCCTCTTATGTTGTTTCTGCTACGAAGCAAGGACAACTATCTGGTAAAGCAATTCAGAACCCCAATGATCAGTGCAAGGTCATCTTCACTCAAGAAAGGCTTGATGAAGAAGAGGATCAAGAAAGAGTCATGGACGAATTCTGTTTGCTGCTGAATGACGACGGCATTGTTGCTGCTGAGGCTCCTGGAGTCCCGAATGATCAACCTGAAGTGCACGCCACTACCGTAGCTTTTCACACTTCACCAGTTGAGCTCACACAACAAGCTTGATCGGCGGCTCGATCGAGTCGAACTTTAGCTCGATCTAGTCAGACATCATCCGTCCTCACACCGATTTTGCTTGATCCTTACCAGCCAGTTGATCCATCATCATGCCGCCTACTCAGTCAAAGCCATAAGGAAGTGATTCACCAGTTTAGAAGAGACCTCAGTGAGATTGAAGTTGAGTTGCCTTCTATGGAAAGCATGAGTGAGACATTTGAGCAAATGAAGTTGATTCAAGATGTTATGGCTAACAAGGAAAAAGTTTCAGAGCTTCTGGAGATGTCTACTCACCAAATCAACCTGCTTACCTCACCTACTTTCTTACCAAAGGTGAAGGATCAAGGGAAATTCACTCTCCCTTGCACACTTGGGCATATTGAACTTGACAATGTCTTGTGGATTCTAGTGCAAGTATCAACCTAATCTCCCTCACAATGGCAGAAAAGCTTGGCATTGCTGGAGCATTGCAGCGCCCTACTACTTCAATCATGTTTGGAGATGCAACTTCAAAATCTCCTCTTGGTGTTTCAAGAACTATCACTTGAAAATAGGAGAATGCATCATCCAAACTGACCTCACTGTCATGGAGATGGAAGAAGGGAAAGATCTACCTCTGCTATTGGGAACCCCATTCCTTAGCACAGTTGGCGCTTCAATAGACTTTCACAAGCAAGAAGTGATTTCCACAAAGTGAATAGTTTGGTGTCTTATCGCTTGCAGCCTAGAGGATCAGAGTATTGTGGCACCATTGAAAGCACTCCTCTAAGTTCCAAGATCCTGAATTGCCAAGGTTGTGAAGGAAAAGGTTGAAAAGAGCCAAGAGTTGTGAGAGATAAGGTTGAGAAGGACCAACGAGTTGACAAGGGAACAAGGATTGAGAAACCACGCCTTGAGAGGCCAAGACTTGAGAGACCACGATCTGATAGGCCACGAGCTGATAGACTTGTTCAAGCACCATGTGTCCTTGATGAGGAAAGCCTCCAAGCTTTGTTTGATGAGCCACTAGGAAGCCTCAAAAAGAAGGGGAGGATGCAGCCTCAAAGGCACTTGTGGGAGAGAAAAGAAAGGACCCACCAGCTCAGGTTTCCTCAGCAAGCCATCTCAGCTCACTATGACCTTGTTTCCACCAAATTTGAAAATGGAAAGATTGAGTACAAGATAAGGTACAAAGGGAGATCAAGACCATTCTCTAGAGCCAAGGCCTTGGTCACTTCAGAGCAGTCCAGGATACAACCAAGCTAAAGGAGCTCCTATCCCAAGTCCTCACTATCACCCTTGATGGTGGGACTAGCTCAACCAATGCCTAAGAGGTAAAGGTCAAGCTATGGGACCTTAAACAAGCTCACTTGGGAGGAAGTCCCATGACTATCCTTGTACATAGTCTTTATTTCAATTTCTATCTAGTATTTTGTGTCTTAAGGCCTTTCAGAACGTTAAGTTTAGGTGACAAGAAGCCGGCTCGACCGACAGCTCGATCGAGCCAGAAACAAAGGTAACTCGATCGAGTTCCACAACTCGACCGAGGGAGGTAAATTTTTGAATTTTCAAATTTTGGAACCGTTTCCTATGGTCAAGGGGGTGGGTCTCACATCTAAATTTTGGTCCCCCACTTCCCAAAACTGATCAGAAAAACCCTATGCTTTTGTCCCCTCTTTAAACCCTCTTTTAATCCTCACCACACATCTCAAACACTCTCTTTTTCCATAACTCGATCGCACCACCCCTCTCTCTCTCCCACACTCAAAAGTTTCTGAAATCACCTATCTCTCTCCCTTCTCTCTAAGAAAATCCAGAAAATATCTCTTCCTCTCTTAAGTTTTAGCGATTTCTCCTTGTCCTATCTTTTAAATTGAATATGTGTCTCTTGTAAGCTTGTTCTTAAGTAATTGCTTTCATATTCATCTTTTGCTGATAGAATTCCATGAACCTACCTCACCTCACCTCTGTTTTGTCTTTAAAATTGTTGCATGTGTTTAATTCCTTTGAATTTTAGTTTGGTATTGGCTAGGATGCTTTAATCTTCACCAGTATTGCTTATTGTTTCAAGTTCTTGATGTCCTTAGTTCAATTTGAGTATCTAACATCCTATCATGCTCTTAATACTTGATTTAGATTCGGTTTGCTCTGTTTTCACCTAACTCGATCGAGTTTGTCACTCGAGTTTTTTTGACTCGATCGAGTTGGGTGTCGAGCTGACCGAATCGATCATTGCAGTTCTAATTCTTTGAACCTTTGATGAATTTCAGAGAATCCACTTTAAGAAGCAACAAAGCTAAGATAGTGAGAGGTGAAGGAAGCCATGCAGCTATGGGAAGGAGAGAAGTAACAAGAGGTGCAAGAAGAATGCTAAGGGGATGAGCAAAGAGGATGTGGAAGAGATTGAGAGGTTAAGGGAGGAAAGAAGGACCAAGAGAAGGAATGATCCCATCAGCAGTGAGAGCGAATTGGGAGAATTCGAGATTGGGGTGAATGTTGCAAGAGAGGAGAGTGATGACTCTCAAAGTGAAGAAGGTGAAGAGGTTAATCAAGAGGTTGATGGAAGTGGGCAGGAAAGTAATGAAGATGTGCCGATGGCAGAAGCTGAGCCACAAGAAGAAGAGGATGACCTCCCCATGTTCCAAGCGCACTACGATGCCCTTTTCTCTATGGATTTTGTGGAAACCAAATATCCACATGATGGCGCAATGAAGGCACTTGGGATCTTCAAGGATGTGGAGTTAGTGCTTAAGAACATGCACTTGGCCAAGTTCTTCTCTCATAGGATGGAGTCCTACAAGGAGTTGACTTGTGAGTTCCTAGCATCGATGAGGTACCACGAGTATAATGAGCTCGATCGAGCTGACTTGGACCAAGGTTGGGGATGGATAACGTTTTTGGCAAAGGGGGAGAAGAAGATGGTCACCTTTAGGCAGCTAGAGATACTGTTTGGCTTCACATATGGGGAAGGAACTAATTGGGATATCAAGGAAAATGAGCTCCAAAGTGTTTGGGCTACAATCGCTGAAGGAGAGTACTCTTCCTTAAGGTCCAAGGCTGCTCAGATAAGGAGTCATGTGCTGAGATATGTGCACAAAGCCCTTGCCAGCACCTTCTTCGCAAGGAAAGCAACCGGGACAATCAATGAAGGGGATGTCAAACTACTTGACATGGGGATTAAGCCCATCATCTCACGTGCCAGTGATGGAAGGAAGCTCAGAGGAGACAGAGTACACGCAGGAAACCTCATGCCCCTCCTTGATCAACTACTCTCTTACAAGACCACAGCCTATAGTACTCGATTTCAAGGAGGGAGAAGGCTGAGCATTGGAGGGATCATTACATCAATCCTTTGCGCAGCTGGAGTCCAACTAAACAAGAAGAATTCACCTCCAGCTGGTTGGATGGACATCAAGTTCTACAAGACCAACACCCTCATCGATCACAAGGAGTTGAATGGGAAATACCAATTCCTATTCAAACATCCCACAGCTGGTGCTTCCAAGATGCTCCTTCCCAACCCTGAGTTCACCTCAGTCAGAGAGGGTAGAAACATTGACTTCAACTGCCCATTACACACGCTGGTTGGGCATGAAGATGAGTTGCGAGAAGAGGAGCCTGAACTCGATCGAGTTGAGGCTCGAGCTGAGGATCATGTCCAAGAGAATGAGGAGTTGGGTGAGCCTAACTCCTACTATTTTGAGGAGTATGAAGCTCCAAGGATGAACCCCTCTGTTGTGGCTGCTCACAAGAGGATTGGACTCCTCCAAAGGTACAACAAGTGGCAAGGGAAGGCCATGAAGAAAATGCAAAAGTCCATGGACAAAATGGTGAGCAAAATCAAGAGTCTGGAGAAGAAGGTGGCTGGTTCCTTATCCAAGAAGAACAAGGCGCCAATGACCTTTCCTTTCCCTAGGAGTCGATCACTCCTCACCACACCAAGGAGACTACCGTCCCAAGAACCTCACAGAGCCTCATCCTTTGAGCCAAGAGAAGAACGAGCTAGCCCACACAGAAGGAGGAAGAGTTCCAGAGCCCGACCCTCCAACTCGACTAGTGGACTCGATCGAGTCCAAACAGAAGAAACTTAACTCGGTCGAGCTGATGGTCGAGTTGACCTGGAAGAGCTAGAATTCGAGAACCCTGGATTTGAGTACGATCCAGCGACTTACCAGGACTATCCACAGAGCAGATGGAAACCATATGGCCAGGTTCCACCAAGGCCAAAGTAGCCACACCCACTTCGAGGATGAAGAAGAAGAACCGCAAGCTCGATCGAGCTGCATGGAGATGGTCGAATGGAGTGCCCCTGATGGTCGCTTGCCCTCTCCAGACCACGACCTTGCTTCCCAGTTCTTTGGGGAGTACTAAGGTACCAATCACCAATCCCTAGTAAATACCATTCATTTTCTTGCATTTCTCTTTGTTTTTCTTGGTTTTTGCCTCTTGAATCCTTCATTAAATTTCACTCACACAAGAGACTGTGTGATTTAAGTTTGGGGGAGGGTTCAAGAGATGTTTTAACCTTGTTTATTATGTTCTTAGTTTTTCATCCATTTGCATAGAAAAAAAAAACATAAAATTTTCAAAAAAATCCAAAAATATTTTCATCTTTTTGCATTCATATTTGTTAGAATTGTTTAGGATTGCATCATTCACCTCTGTTTTAGTTGTGCATTGTTGATTTGTTCTTGAGAATTTGTTCATCATTTGCGATTTATTGAGTGCCCAATATCTAGATTCTTTTGTGCATTAGGGTGAGATTGATTGAACAACAAGGAACCATGTTTAACTTGATCATATCGCTGCATGCACATCTCATTCAACCATTTGCTGTGATTTGATGCATTTCCCTATCTATTTGAACCATAACTTGATCTTTAATTACCAATGCTTGCATTTGATTTCAACTCATGGATACCACATACATATCTGGACATTCTTTGCCTATTTCTTATCCCTCTTGCTTGTCCAGATAGCTGATCTCCATCTTTGAGACAATTACCACACCTTAAACCTAAGTCTTTTCATTTCAAACCCCGCATACTATCTCTTGTGCGAATTGTGAGACTTTTTCTTGGCTTTGCTTAGCGTAAGGTGTTGTGTTTAAACTGGCAGGGGCAGTAGTTCTAGTTATCTAGTCCTCTTGGGTTGTTTTCAGGCTGAGTTTGGGGTATGGGTTGAGCTCGAGTCGAGTTGGGTGTCAAAACTAGAAAAGGGATAAAAGTTGGGAAAACCCAAAAGAAAAGAGTTTAGTTAAGTCCAAGGAGTTGGCTTTGTTTAAAAAATGGTCTAGTAAAGGTTTGGGAAGTTAAAAAAGGAAAGAAAAAGGGTTCTAAGTAGAAAAGAAAAGAAGGCAAAGTTCAAAAGAAAGAAAGAAGTTCCCTAAGCATAGAAAAATTCCAAACCGCTAGATGTTACCTTAGTAGCCTCTCCCTGTGTTGTTCTTAAAGGAAAAGTGAGCAAAGCTCCTCTGTTTCAAAGTCGAAATGCCAAAAAGGGTAGTTAGGATTTGTTCTTTAAAAGCTCTAAGTAGTTAGGATTAGGTGGCTCGAGTTGCTGCTCTTGCATCATCTTTGATTCTAACACTTAGCCTTTTGCCAAAGCAAGGCCACTTTCTTGAGAAATCCCTATTACTAAACCACCATACACTCAAAAGAGACCCTCTTTGTCTCTTAACCCATAAACCCTTGAACCAAAAGAGTTGATTGATCTTGCATGTTTTTGGTTCACAATTTTACTTAATAAATGTTAAAGGGTTTTGCTGATTTGAATGCATTGTTTGAGCAGCCCCGGCTCGATGAAAAAGTGGGCCCTGTGTAATGCTAAATTTTATTTTAAACAAACTCTATTACAGAATACTCTTGTATTTTTGTGCCTTATTTTATAATTTTATAGAAGATTTAGGCCCTAAAATCTAAAGAAAATGGGACTAAAATTAAATAGGCCCTGTGACATATCTCACCTCACACACCTTACTAACCGGCCTTGTGTTTGAGTGACTGTGAAGTGGGATCGATATTGATAAGCATGGTTAAAATCTTAATGAATATCTCTCACTTTGTTGCATTCTAGAATTTCTAAGTTGGATATTTAGCAAATCGCTTTTGAGGGCATGTTTTTAAGGCTGAATCAACTTGTTTTCAAACCTCATCTCTTTCTTGTTCTATTTGTTTGCTTGAGGGCAAGCAAAGGTCAAGTTTGAGGGTGTTGATGTACTTGCATTTTGCATAGTTTTAGTACATCTTTTATGCATCTTTTGCATAGTTTTAGCATCCATTAGCATCATATCTTGTTCCTTTTCCCTTCTTGTGCATTCATAGTAGTTTTAGGTTGCATTTGCATACATGTGCATGTTTGGTCCTTGAAATAGGTCTTTTGGAGCACTTTGGAGCATTTGGGACGTGAGGAGCAAGGAAGGACTTGGTGCATGGACGCAGCTCAACCACACATGCATAGGACGAAGGAGGAAGTCATCTTGAAGTCAGCTCGACCACCTACTCGACCATCCGGTCGAGTTCCTCAACTCGACCGGCCAAGTTCAACTCGATCGAGCTGAGAGTCAACAGTCAAACCCGAAAAATGTTGCTTCCCCTTTGACTCCCCTTTGACCCTAAACCTAATCCTCTTGTATTTAAAGGCTCTAAGCCACGAAAAAGACACAATCTTTAGCTTATTTTTGTTTTGCTTTTCTTTAATCTTGTAATTTACTTTTTGCAACCTTAAGCCTCTCTTTGTGTTCTTGAGCTTCATGCTCTTGAACCTTAGATCTAGGCTATTTCTTTGTATTTGCACTTGCTTATTTCAATAAAAGTTCTTTAGTTTCATCTCCTCTATCTTTATGTCTTTCATTGCATTTGATTGTGTATTTCTTCATGTGTAGTGAGTAGTTCCTTTAGGGTTTAAGATGGGCTAGATTAGAGGATCCTTATGCTTAATCTCTTTGCTTGTGTTCTTAATCTAGAAATCTCTCTCTTTTGGACAAAACCTAATACAACACAACCACTATCCATGGTGTGTTGATCATAGGCGATTTTCCTCATGGAAGTGTTAGGAAATCGCTTGAAAAGGTCCACTAAGAGCTCCAATAAACCTTGCTCTCGAAATGGAGTTCATAGGTGTTGGATGGGTTAGTTTGAGCAATGATCCTACTGCCTCCAAGGCTTGATTCTCACTGGCTAACCCCCTGTTTCTGAGATCTTGCCTTGGATGATAGCTTTCACCTTGGGAAAGGGCTAGCTAGGCTTGAGAAGCTCAATACCAAGAGATACCTTGATACAAGTTGTTTAAGAGCAAGATTGATTAAGTATAGTCTTCCCCTAGTCGCAAGACCCTGTCTTAGACCCTAATATTCGCATTAGCATCTTAAAGTTCTTACCTTTATCGCTTTTACTCTGTTTTTACGTCAACTCGACCCTCAACTCGATCGAGCCAGTTACTCTGTTCTACTCGATCGAGCCCTTGGTCGAGCTGCTTGCATTACTGCTTTCTTTTACTTTATGCATTGCATTTCATTTCATTAGGTTGTTAGATTTATCCCCCTTATCGTACTGCTTGACTTTCTTGTGTTTGCATAAATTCAAAGAGCAACATCTCACCCTTTTGGATTGATAACCTCTTATACTTCAATGACTATGATGGTTAAGAGGAATTGATTGATTGTGATTGCACCATACCATCTCATCTTTATTCACCCCTGTTTGCATTCCACCTCATATCATTATATCATTTCATATCACCCACACAAATCCTATCATCAACAACTCATCATGGTTTTTGGAGACAGTGGTTCTCCGGTAGACTCTACTGGGTGCAAGTAGGCCTCGCTTTGAGTAGCTTATCTGGGTGCAATTGGGCCTCAGTATAAGCAGTTTTGGATTCGTCAGGGTGCAAGTGGGCCTCAGTGCGGACCGGTGTGGACTTGTCTGGGTGCAAGTGGGCCTCATTATAAGTGGTTTTGGATGATGAGTTAGGAGTGAAAATGTCTTCAAACGTGCTTATAACTTAGGATTTGACGTGCGTCTCGGAGATCAGGTGAGGATCTCCAGTGTTGTGGCCTTGCGAAGTCGGGTTTTTGTAGTCTTCGTGACGTTTTTTGTTGGGATTCGGGGTCGAATCAAGCTTAGTGGGAGAGAGTTGTAATATCCGTAAACCTTGGAATCGAGGAATTTTGGCTGTGTCGAGCGACACAGAAGAATTGTGTCGGTCGACATAGATCATGGTTCGCGATTCCTGTTTGATTTGAGTGAAATCGATTTACGGTTTAACCTAGTTTGGGTCACGGAACCCTAAGTCGCGAAATAAAAGTCGTGGAGCTGCGGGTTTTGTCGTGTAGTGGCTGCAAAAATCAGAGAAGAAGAAGAGGCGATTTCAGATCGATTCCGGTGTTTTTGAGGTGGATCGTGGTCTATGTGTAGCTGTTCTTCAATGTTTCCTTTTTCCTTTCCCCTTTCAATCCGTTCTAGAGGTGAGTGCTTGACTATAAGTCCGCGATTTACTAGTTTTGGAGTTGGTTGAGGTTGTTCTTGTGTGTGTTCATGTGATAATCGGATTCTATGTTGTGATTTGGGTGATTCGTTATTGATTCTGTGTTTATGTGCTGTTTCGTTGTTATCATTGTCGACCCGACAGACGTGTGTCGAGCGACACAAAGCTTGTGTCGGTCGACACAAAGTGCTCTGCAACGACCGACAGAAAGTTTGTGTCACTTGATGCAACCGTTCGGTCCGGTCCAATTGGAAATTGAATTGCGGTTTAATTGAATTAAATTAATTGGTTTAATGGAATTGATTTCTGGTTTGATATGGTTTAATGGTTATTTCATATTTAATTAATTAAGGGTTTATTTAATTAATTAAGTGGCTTAAAATAATTATATAAATTCTTTTATTTATGGAATTATTATTTAATTATGAGAATTATTTAATAATTAAGAAATGGAGTTTAATAATCATTGAGAATTATTATTAATATTATTTATTTGGTAGTAATTGCGTAAATGGCCTGCAGGCAAGGTGATTGCCTCACTAAGTATTTATTTAATACTTACATATCTCTTTCGCAATGTGATGCAGGTAAACGATTTGTGTGATCGCGGAATCAAGGTTGAAGAGGGGATGATAGGATTTTTATGTGTTTTGCTTTGTTTAAGTTGAACCTGTTTAAGTTGCTAGACTTGTTTATTCAATTTTTTTTTGCTTCCGCTGAATTATTTGTCATTTGATATTTATTTATTTAATATATTTTAAAGACTTCCGCTAGAATTGTTTAGTGTTTATTTAATTACAAAAATAAATAAAAAAAGCTTGGTTGTTTCACCATCTCTTTGTCTTCAAGTAATAAAACATGATTTCTAATACCTCTCAAAAGCACACCATCTTTCGTTAGGCGGTTATAGTTGCATATGGGAACGACTTCAATCAAATCCACGCCTTGATTTTGATACATGCCGGCATCATTATCTTCACCATATGTATCATAAATTGGATCCCCATTAATTTCTCTGATATTTTCGCAGAGATCTTCACATATAACAAACGGATATTCATCCATGTGATAGGAAAAACTCCCAAACAACATGATACAAGTTCGATTGAGAAATCAAAGTGCTGTTTCTGATAACAACTGATGTAGTGGAAATTATGATAAACACAGTTCAATCTATGATTCAAAGAAATCAATCGGGACCTGCCAACTCAACCAAGAGATTTGATATAATCCTCGCTTGGAACCTGCTTCTTGAACTTGTTTAGATCTCTCTAGATCTACCGAAAACAAAGATAGAGAATACTCTTATCTCAAAAGCCAAAGCTCTTTATCAAAAATTAACAACTTCATAATACAATAGGTCTAAACGGCTATTTATAAAAAAAAGGATAAAACCATAAAACACCAATAATAATTAATTTAAATAATAAAATAAATAATCTAAATATTTGAAATGTTTACATTTATCTTCCTGCATTAAAACATAAATAAATACTAAGTAGAAACATGTAAAATATAGTGATCCTGATCTGTCAAAACCCTAGGGTTGCCGGTCTCCATTCTTACTTTCTGAATACACTTAGGGCCTAACTGGTCACTGAAAAATTGCTGAATGTTGAAGAATTCAGCTAAATTTTTTATGTGAAACACGAGTTGGGTATTGAGGAATGATGAAGAATGATGAAGAATTAAGCTGAAAAATAAGACAAAAAGTGCATAATGATTTTCGTTTTTTTTTAAATTTGTTTTGACATTTCAAATAATCCATTAGTTAGTTTACATGGTGTAAATTTTATTTATTCACCTTCATATATTTAATTCTGTTATAAAAAGAATCACTAAAATTTCAACAAATCTAGTTATACAGTACAAGAAAATTAAGGAAAAAATAACTAATCTTCAAATGTTGATGATATGTATTAAATAAAGTTTTCATGATTGAGGAATTTTTATGCATTTTATTTATTTATTTATTAAAATTTATTTGTTGTGGTTTATATATGGATTAAATAGTGTAATTATATGTAATTATTTAATTTTTAAGGAAAAGTAGAATTAAAACCATAGTTAATTTATCATGTAGTTTTATGTTTTAAGCTAATATTTTCAAATAAATATCAATTAATAATGAGTACATATTGTTATAAACTAATTATTAAATAATACTCCCTCTGTCCAATATTATAAGCAGTTGGGCAAAATGAATCTGAAAAAAAATGGATGTATCTGGATGAAATTTCATTTTGTCCAACTGCTTATAATATGGGACAGAGGAAGTATAAAAGAAAGGATTAGTGGTGGGGACCACTGGACAAGAGAGAGGTGAGAAGGGGACGATGTGAGGAGTGAGAGAGTGTAACTTTTGTTTCTTATTCGATTGTTGTACATGTTTCCTTTACATGAATTCCTATTTATAGTAAAGGTAAATCAATAACATATTGACACCTATTAAATCGGCGAAGAAGAGATTTTTATCTCTTATGATGAGTCATCAATCTTCATCATTATCTCAACACTCCCCCTTGACTCATCATCTATTATTGTGAAGTTGTATGCGCCTCGTTAAAACCTTATCATGGAAAAACCCAATGGGATAAAAACCATGAAAAGGAAAAAGAGTACCGCAACACAAACTCCCCCTGAAAATAGATATAGTCTTCTCTTCACAAATCTTGAAGACGACGCATTCCAATACTTGAACATGCTTCTTGAACACTGTTGTAGGAAGCGCCTTTGTGAAGAGATCAGCTGCATTGTCACTTGAGCGAACATACTGAATATCCACTTCTTGATTCTTCTCAAGTTCTTGAGTGTAGAGAAAAATCTTGGAGGGATGTGCTTTGTCCTGTCGCTCTTGATGTAGCCTTCTTTGAGTTGAGTGACACATGCAGAATTGTCTTCGTAGATGTTGTTGGCTCTTTCTTTGTAGATACTCCGCTGGCTTCTTGTATATGTTGGATCAAAGATCTCAACCATACACACTCTCTGCATGCTTCATGGAGAGCAATGATTTCCGCATAATTTGAAGACGTTGCAACCAAAGTTTGTTTTTGGGAACGCCAGAGATCGCGGTTCCACCGTATGTGAAAACATAACCGGTTTGCGATCGAGCCTTATGCGGATCAGACAAGTAGCCAGCATCTGCAAAACCAACTAAACCAACCTCGGGGTTTCTAAATAATATAATCCAAACTCAATCGTACCTTGAAGATAACGGAATATATGTTTTATTCCGTTCCAATGTCTTCTGGTAGGCGATGAGCTGTATCTTGCAAGCAGATTAGTAGCAAAAGCTATATCTGATGTAGTGCAATTTGCAAGATACATAAGTGCCCCGATGGCGCTCATGTAAGGTACTTCAGACCTAACATTTTTCAGAATCTTCAATAGGTCGAAATGGATCCTTGTTAACATCAAGCGATCTATTGACCATTGAACTACAGTCCGTTTATTGAGAGAGAATATTTCATTCTTCATGGCCATTTGCCATTTCTCCCAGTCCGGCCTCTTTTGGCACTCTGACACGGAAGTTGGATCTGGATCATCATTTTCATGATCGATCTCTTTAGCTACAGAAAAAGAGAACATTCCATCATCATCTATTTCACTTCTAGCCCATATTTTTCCACTTTGGGCGAAGGAGATGGAAATCTCAAATTTTTCTGTCTCTGGTTCGTCATCTTGACGAACCTCTTTATCAGGTTCTACAAGAACCTGTTCGGAAATGTCTTCAAGACATTTCGGTTCATCAGGAACCTTTACTCCACAATTCTTTTTCTTTCGGGGATATTTATCCTTTGATCCTATAGCCTCCCGCGCTTTAATTGAACCGGTTCACTTGCTCTATTCACATCAAAATGTTCATGAGGAACTTCTATTTTTGATGGAGCATTAGCAGCGGGGATATAGGACTTCGTCACCCTTTTCGTATCTGAACTCATGGGCAACTGGTTAGCCAATCTTTGCATATGTATAATTTTCTGAACTTCCACCTCGCGTTGATTAGAAGGAGGATCAAGATAAGCCAAAGAGTGTGTACACCATTTGGTGATATCATTTGGTGATTCTCTCGACCCTCCCCCTAACGCAGGGAATTCATTTTCATCAAAGTGGCTATCGGCAAATGTGCCGTAAACATATCACCAGTTGCCGGTTCAAGATACCTTATTATACTAGGGGACGAATACCCGACATATATTCCCAATCTCCTCTGTGGTCCCATTTTTGATCTCTGTGGTGGCGCTATTGGGATATAGACCGCACACCCGAATACCCGGAGATGGGATATATTTGGCATATTTCCAAATGCCAACTGTATGGGCGAAAATTTATTATAAGCACTTGGTCTCACTTGAACCAAGGCTCCCGCATGCAATATTGCATGTCCCCATACAGTGATTGGGAGTTTTGTTCTCAAGATTAACGGTCTTGCAATTAACTGCAACCGCTTTATTAATGACTCAGCCATGCCATTTTGCGTATGAACGTGCGGAACCGGATGTTCAACATCGATTCCCACAGACATACAAAAGTCATTAAAGGCTGCTGAAGTGAATTCACCAGCATTATCAAGCCTGACTTTCTTTATGGCATAATCAGGGAAATGCGCTCTCAACCTGATTATTTGGGCAATGAATCTTGCGAAAGCCATATTTCTTGTGGTCAAAAGACACACATTTGACCATCTACTAGATGCGTCAATCAATACCATAAAGTATCGAAATGGCCCGCACGGTGGGTTAATAGGCCCACATATATCACCATGTATTCTCTCTAAGAATACAGGGGATTCATTCCCAACTTTGGCTGGCGAGGGCCTAATTATGAGTTTTCCTTGAGAACATGCTTTACATGAAAACTCCCCCGATTGAAAAATCTTTTCATTTTTCAATGGGTGGCCACTCGTATTTTGCACAATTCTTCTCATCATGACTGAACCTGGGTGGCCAAGTCTTTCATGCCACACCCTAAAAGTGCTAGTAAACATCTGGTTTACTGCAACATAAGATTCAGTCATGTTGATTTTTGTGCAATATAAACCAGAGGACATCATTGGTAATTCTTCCAATGTTTGTTTCCTCTCCGTTGTAATGCAAAGATATTCAATGCCATTTTTGTTTATAGTCTCAATATGATATCCATTTTTGCGGATATCTCGGAAACTTAATAAGTTCCGGTGAGACTCCGGGGAATATAGTGCATCTCGCACTTCAAATTTCGTTCCCCTTGGCAATGAAAAACTTGCACTCCCAGAGCCAAGTATTATCTTTGCACTACCGCATATAGTACTCACGCTTTCAGCGGAGTCTTTCATTTTGAGATAGGAGAAATACTTCTTATCTTTGAGTATTGTATGTGTCGTAGCACTGTCTGCTAGACAAGTATCTCCATCCTTAATCTCAAATTGTGGCACCATCAGGGCCACTGAATTCTTTTGAAAACTTTAAACAGAATAACAAAATTGAAAGGCATAAATTGAAAGACAGAAATTTAGATCTGGGAGGAGACATAGTCATCAACTCCGCTACATAGAGGAGGTTTTCACCATCAACTCCGGAGGAGGATTTCCCTACCACTCCATATATATGATCTGAGGAGACATAGTCTACCATGTGATCATTTGCTCGGAGTAGGCAGAGCCTAGCTTCCCGGCTTTAAGAAATTTATTTGATCGAGGAGGCAGAGCCATCCATGACGATCAGCTCGGAGTAGGCAGAGCCTAAGCTTCCCGGCTTTAAGAGATTTATTTGATCGAGGAGGCAGAGCCATCCATGACGATCAGCTCGGAGTAGGCAGAGCCTAACTTCCCGGCAGAATAGACAAAATATAATTTTAAATAAATTTGGACAGAATTTAGGCTTACCTCTACGGGATAAGAATAGATCTAGACAGATCTAGTATAGAGGCAATCGTGCTGATAACGTGTTATAAACTAATTATTAAATAATATAAAAGAAATGATTAGTGGTGGGACCACTGGACAGGAGAGAGGTGAGAAGGGGACGATGTGAGGAGTGAGAGAGTGTAACTTTTGTTTCTTATTCAATTGTTGTATATGTTTCCTTTACATGACTTCCTATTTATAGTAAAGGTAAATCAATAATATATTGACACCTATTAAGTCGGTGAAGAAGAGATTTTTATCTCTTATGATGAGTCATCAATCTTCATCATTATCTCAACACATATCATATTATAATATTAGAAAATACCAAGAACAAGAGAAAATAATGAATGGTACTATATACATAGAAGATGAGAGGGAATTAAATGTATATTTTTCATTATTGAATTACTAATATCAAAATTATTTTATTTTTTTAATGTAGATTTTTCATTAATTTTGATGTTTAATACATTATTATGAATTTAGATTTTAAATATGATGTTTAATATTTATCGTATCATGAACAATAATCTCAAAAAATTTATGATTATATATATTGTTCATTATATATAAGAAAAATAAAAACACTAAATTCCAAAATTTTGAAAAAATGAGTTATTTTCTAATTATATAAAATATTAGAATAACAAACCAAATCACCCATTTATTTATGAGTAAATGCTTTAATTGTAATAAAATATTTTTTTTAAGATAAATTATGTGTATATTTAATAAGATATATATTTACAATCTAATACCAACATTTTATTTGATTTTTTATGTTTACATATATTATAAGATATACTTATGAAACAAATATTTCTATTTTAAAATTTTATTTGTTTATTTTGCATTTAGTTACATTCAGCAGTTACCATTTATACTACTCACTAATCAGCCAGATTCCGAAAAAGTTATAATTTAATTCCGCCAGATTCCGCATTCAGTAACATTCAGTGGTTACCATTTAGACCCTAAACATGTACATTTGTCAATTTTATCACTTGAATAATTAATATTCTAGAATAGTAGACATATGGATCGACCACGTGGAGAATATTGCCGTCTTCGTTAGGGTGGAGATCTTATATATAATGAGAGGATATCACTCTCCAGTTGAGTGACACCTGTCATTTTTAAGTTTCCTACAAAATTGCCACATGGCATCTCATTATCAAAAAAAAAAACAAACTTTCACAAATATTTTTAACCTTTCATCTTCCTCACCAAAAAAATGACACACGTCTCCGCCTCCTCCGTTTTCGTTTCTCTTCTGCTACGCCCGATAAACCGAGATCACTCTCGCTCTCTCCATCGCCGGAATTAGCATACGCAGCGAGAAGGAGGTTCCAAGTAGCTAATTCCATCGAAGAGAGATCTAACTGCTCTCAATTTCCCGCAAATGGCGTAAATCCAACCAGAGCAGCTTGTGCAAACCGATCGTGATTAACCGGTTCGATGCATTTCAAAACATGTGCATGAAGAGCTCTTCCATTGTGATGCCACCGATGGTGAAAGCCAGTGGCTTCGAAGAGAGAAGGGTTGGTGAATTGGTTGGGTCGGCGGATTTAGAGGTTAAAATCCGAGCGTAGAGAAAAAACGCGAGATGGGTTTGAGTGGATTTGTGGTTAGAGACGATGGAGGAGATGAGAGTGTTGTAGAGGAAGACGGAAGGGTTTGGGATTCAGCGGAAGATAGTGAGTGTAGGATAAGCAGACGGTGGAGGATAAGTGAAGAAGCTTGCTGAGAGGAAATGTGTGGTGAGAGAGGCCGATTGTGAGGAATTGGGCATGGATTTGCTTGAGATTTTCTAAGGATTTACATTTTGATATTAGGTTTAAACATTGGTGATCACATTTGGTCTGATTTGAGCTATGGTGAGAAACGTGAGCGAAGACCAAGGGAAAAGCAAAAGGGGTTTTTTTTTTTTTTTAATTTTTACCCCAGGCTTTTTTTGTAATTGGGTTTGCTTTTTTAGGTTTCTGTTAAATCCCAAATGTATGCTTCTTTCGTAAAATTTGTTATGATTTTGTGATTTTATCTTTATAACAAACATTTAGCTGCAATATTAAAATTTAAAACAAATAAAATTGTTATACTATTTGCTCTCAAATACCATTTTTGAATATTTGATTTTAAACAAAATAAAAAACAATATAGAAATTTACTTAAAGATTTTAGATATATATATAATCATTAATTATGTTTAGGGTTTAGAGTTTAAGATTTATCATATGATATTATTTGAAATTTGTTATAAGTGTTAACAAAATAAAAATATGTAGTCCTACAAAAATGTATGATTTTTTTTAGGTGTTAGATTTCTTTTTCATGTAAAGGTTAAATGTAAGGGTTTAGATATAAGGGTTTAGAATGCCTTTAAATTAACGTTTTGCTAATTCTGATTTAATATTTTTATTTTGGAACAAAAGTTTATGGTTTAAGTTTAGAGTTTTGGGTTTTGGGTTTGCTTTTTTTTTTTAATTTAGGGTTTAAAATTAGGGTATAAGATTTTCAATGTGCTACAATTACCCACAATTAATTTGCGGCACATAGAAAACATTTTAAGGAATTTGATTTTAGAGTAAATAAGGAGTAATATACTGTACGTATATATTTTGACCCGCGTTAACATATCTGAAAAATATAAAAGAGAAAATATTTACAAATTTCAAATAACAGTTAAAATATTAGTAACAATATATATTCTTTCTAGAAAAATATATAATCGTACAAAAATGTATGATTTTTTATAAGTGTTAAATTTAATGTAAGGGTTACTTTTCAGGGTTTAGATATAAGGGTTAGTAATGGCTTAAATATTATTTTGCTAATTCTGATTTAATATTTTTATTTTGGTATAAAAGTTTATGGTTTATGATTTAAGTTTAGGATTTTGGGTTTCCTTTTTAAAATTTAGGATTTAGGATTAAGGTATATCATTTTCAGTGTGTTACAATTAGCCACAGTTAATTTATGGCACATGGAAAACATTTTACGAAATTTGAATTTAGGAAATAAAGAGTAATATACATTTATATTTCGACCGCGCATTAATACATCTGAAAAATATAAGAGACAAAATATTTACAAAATTCAAATAACAATTAAAATATAAGTAACAAAACTTTGTAATAGTCACAATCCGCGCATCGCGCGGACTTAGCCCTAGTATACATTAATAAGTGATAAACCCATACAAAGCATTATAAACTTTTGAAGGGTTATTATCAGAAAAGGAACATATATATGGATAAAAAGAATTCTTAAGCCGCTGCTCTATAATGAGTGCTTGCATCAATCTTTATTGTCGGTTCTTCGATTCCTCAATTTGTGTACTGAAAAAAGAATCTTCAAGATCACGAGTTCAAATACCGGCGACAGAAAGATTATTATTCTTACATGCTATGATACAAAAAACATTATGCATCCAAAACCCAGAATTTCTTAATTTCCTAAAATCTTGCTAAAAAGGGGGGTTCTAAAACTTATTTGTCAATCGGATCATTCGTTCTGGTATTTCAAAAACATATTTGAATAATAATCATTTTGATCAAATATGCTGTTTTTAAATATCTGAAGACGCATAATCTTAGCAAAATCCGTAATAAATCCGAAAGTTATATCTGAATTTTATCTCTATACTCCTAAAAACTAAGTAACTTATAACTAAAACTCTAAACATTATTGATTTTTTTCTGTCAACCACAGTTTTAAATTATAAACACTCATTATAGTTTATACGACAAGAAAAAAGCATTCGTTATTTGTTATTTAAGTATAATAAATCTGAATCTAGTAGACTCGCGACACTTCTTTATAGTTTAGAAACCCCGAAAGAGAGAAAGAGAATGGAGGAGGACTAATGAACACTGTTATAAAGTCCCATTCCATGTAGTATTACCTCAAAATCAACACATGCGTGTGTCTGGTTGTGTTTCTGTATATATGAAGCTGATATTAAATAACATGATATTTGTAATTGTTAAGAAACTAGGAAAATATAAAGATGAGAAAGAGAAGGAATACGGGGAAAGTCTGTTGGATTGTGATGCCCTAAATTTGAGAAAGCATATATTCCCCTGCTCTAAAGCCGTTTGTCCTCTTCTTAGATAACTTTAACATAAATAAAAATGCTTTCCCATACTTTTAAGGACCCTCCTTTTAAGGACTTTGTTCTCTGCTTTATCTATTTGACCCCCCAAAAAAAGTTATTTTTTCTTTCTTTCTAACATTATAATTCATATGATTGACCAACCAAGGCCATCTTTAATTACCTTTGAAATCGATTTAATTATGAACCATCGTCAGTGCATAGTCTTGTATCATTTACATAGATAACTCTTTTTCGTGAAATCGTTATATTTATTAGCATCGTTTTCCCTATCAAAGGATGCAATTTTGTTATGTTTTGGCTTTGAACTATCTATGTTAGAATGATCTTTACGAACTTTTGACCAGTTTATGACTGATTAAAACGAGTATCATTTCCAAAAGTGATGTGTTATATATGATGGCGATCGATGATGGAGCCATGATTAGTAACTGATGTAAAACAAATTTATCCTACACCTAATACTATACTTTTCATATTAATACATAGATTTCTCGCAAATCTTTTAAAAAGGCACATAATATAATAGATTAACTCAAGATAGCTTTTCAAGATCTAACGTCAAGGTAAAATAATGGGTGGAAGTAGCTCATTATTATTATTTTATTTTATTTATGTGTTAAAACTTTATATTATGTGGATGTTAGTTACTTAGTATTATGTTGATTGCTATCACTATATATAATTATATATGCATGCTAAAATCTCATATCAAACAAATTTTCAAAACTACACCTAATTAATTAAGTGTCCATTTTCAAAACTACAACTTTTTCATTGAGTAAAATAACTCTAAACTTTAAAATCTAAGTTAAACCCTTAATATAAACCCTTAATATAAACCCCCTAAAATCTAATCCATAGTCAAAGATTAGTGAATTCAGACTTATATATTAATAATAAAAAGTGTAGTTTTAACATAAGGTGTAGTTTATAAATACACCGCAAAAATATAGTTCTTACAATTTGTGTTTTGGTATAAAAGCAATGACAAGTTCAGTCACGCATTGGCATTCCGCTAGATAATGTTAAGTGTGAATTGTCCATGCAGAGGTCTATTGGACGGTCACTTGGAAATCTCTTGGGAGTTCGATACCAGTATCAAGATCTGCTTGGACAATTTATTTATTTTTTATTTTTGGCGCCAACAAAAATCACACGAAACGGATTCATATTTGATGAGGCTAATATGTTTTAGTCTTTTAGATAAATGGGATACATAAGCCTAGTTGGAACTGCTTCTGCTACATATCTTGCGGTCCCAAGTCCCAAAGTGCCATCATTGCCTGATCCAACCAAATATTTCACCTTTCTCAAAGACGGAACTTTCCAAGATTCGGATGTTAAAGTCTGTTTTGCAATTTTTGTTTACTATAAAAAATCAGTATTGTATTGTAATCACACCTAGCTATTCAAAATTTCTAATGGTTGATTGTATATAACTTCTCCTTCAAGTGTGAATATGATTTTCTAAGTATATATATATATGTATACTTTTCTTCATATGATGTTATTGTATACACTATATTGCAGAATTATTAGTAAAATATATTTTTTATTAACCGGAGTTCAATCTTCGAAGTTCATAAGAATTCTAGATTTTTGTTATTTATCACTGAAAAGATTTAATCTTTGGCCTAAACCAACAAACCAATAGAATAGCATCACTAATTTTTGTGTTGATGCTTTGTCGCATAGAAAAGTCACCTTTCCAATGACATAAAAGTTGAGTCACTTAAATCTATCTCTAGAATCAATGTTTTGAGTCTAAAGTCATATGTGCTTACCAGGGTTATGGGTGTTCTTTCTTAAAAACTATGAAAGATATTTAAGTTAGAGATCACAATCACACTACAACACAAATGTGGTTTTTTTGTGTGTGTGTTTAAAACAAAAGTTAACACAATTGTGTTGATTCCACAAATAATGGTATCTATCTATTGACCTTAATTTTTTTCTGACTTGTACGACATGAATAGGCAGCCGTGTAAACTGAATATGTTGCGTAATAGTATTTGCTACCCAGAATGTCGCATTTATCATCATGATGATATCAGTCTTATGGATGATTATGTGTTGGCTTACACAGTTACACTAAGAGTGGCATGCACAGAGCGGTTATAGATTGCTGTTCTCCACACTTCAGTTCAACTCCATTTGCTCCTTTAGTGGGGTTTAAAGGGCCAGTGGACTTGGAGCTATAGGCCACTACAAAATGTTTTTTTTTTAATCACCAATAAAATGTTTTAGTTAATCATTTTTAGTAAAAAAAAGATTATCTTCTAATTTTCTTGTAAATGATTTTTCTTGTGAAATTTATAGAACTTGAAAAATATATTCTAGAAAAATCCTCTTATGATTTTATTATTAGTTACTTAGATTGTGCTTCGTATATATGTCGGTTCCGTCATTTACATCAATACATTTGTAATTATGTCATCATGAGTAAAATTTACAATATTACTTTTATTTGGACTAGTGCAGGTTTTTAGTTTGTAGATGTACACAGTCATGTGTATGTTTGGACACATCAAGAAAAATAAAATCTTACTAAAACCTGCACGAATCCAAGTATGAAAAATAGTGTATAATATTTTGTTTCATACTCCAGTGAATTTACTAAGTCTAAAATGAGTTTTAAATGGTGATAAGGAAAAGAAACCAAATAATATAGGAAGAGGGTATAACTATTTTTTTCTTCTTTTTGAACATGAAATTTATGAGCGTGCAAGTAGATATAAACTAGAGAAGAGAAAGAAACGGGGAAAGAGAAACAAAAAGTGGGAACAAAGTTTTCCCCATACTCTTTCTGATCTCATCACATTCTCCAACGTCCCTTTCTTCTGATGTGAGTCTTCTCGCTCTCTGTTTCATCTGTATTTCATTTTATTTGATAAGTTAAACTAAACTACTGATTGTCGATTATATTAGTTGTTTTTCATACGATTAAGTAGACATTCCTTTTAAGATGCGATCGAATTGGTGACAGCTTTATTAACAGTGCAATACTCATTTTCTTAACGCATGGTACTTTTGAGTCACTAGATAAGTAATATGTTATGATGTATAATGAAACGAGTTGTTTTTGTTAGTATTTCTGTATTTGGATCCTAAATCCAATCTTCAAAAAACCGTTAAAAGCAAGAAAGAATTATAGTGATTATAGTGGTTCATCATGTAAAAATTATGTCCATTTTCTATTACCAAGTTTGAAAACTCTTACAAGTTTTTTTTCTTTCACTCACTTCCAATAAAGAAAGTGACAATGATTTAAGTAAGGAATATTAACCCAAGGAAAATTAAACAAGCATGCATGTACCTAATAGTATATTCGAAATATTCTCAATAAACTTCCTTAATTCAATTGAAAACATGTTGTTTAGTGATCGTCGGATCGCACAGTAGAATCGAGAGATTAGACTCCACAATTCAACAACGATTCTCTTCTGAAAATGTCCATTTCAACAACTATTTGTGTGACGATTAGTATCTAACAAATTTTCGCCGCTTCCCCATGCTAACGAAAATCGACAAGCACTTTGTCAAATCATCTCTTGCATAATTGTTTTTGCTTACTACAGTATGTCTTTATCCTAAATTTTAATGACTATGTATTGTAATTTGTAAGTTATATATATATTTTTTAATTTTGTAAGTTATTGATTTGTAGATGCCGATCAAGTTAACACGAACTTTATTTTATGTTCCCTTGAGATTTTCAAAATTCTCCTCCCTTTTCCTTTTTGCAGCAGCTAAACCATTTCTCTTACTCTTAGAGATATAAGGAATTATTTTCTCAGAATCATTCCGTCAACTTCTGATCTCTATAACTCTTTTTGTGTTTCTTTTGAGGTTATTCCGAATGTGTTAAAAAGCTTGTAGTAATAATGGTCATCCAAATATAACGAGTTTGATGAAAGTTGACTTAAATAAGGTTTGATTACGTAGCTACTCCAAGGTTGATATTATTCCTTGACCATGTTTCAAAATTACGAGAGATCAATCATTTTGCTTATTTTCGCGCATTAGCATTTTAAAATCCGTGAAAATTAGAAAAGTATGAATACCTTGCCAATTTAATAGAGAAGAAATGCGATAGCATTAATTTACCACATATTGAATTTAATATTTGAATATAATTCGTAAATTCAGCTTGTTTTTGGAGGACTTGACGTCATCATGACAGAGAGTGATGACTGATTTCATGTAATGTGTAGTCCTTTGTAAATTAATTTGTGTTTTTATTTTTATTTTTTGCTAACTTGAGCATCTTCGTGGTGGTTCCTGCTACTACAATTATGCAACTTAAAAGAAAAGTAAAAAGCCTTATAGATCATCATTTCCATCCTTATAGTAGCTCTTTGCGTCCATTTTAAAAACACAAACTTTGTTACTCAAATCATCAATAGTCAAATTAATAAGAGAGATGTTTAGAGATAGAAATCGTTGTGTCGTTGTAATAGTGATTGTAAAACAAGACAATTATTGGTTATAAGAAACATATCAAGATTATTATTTTACGTATCCTTAGGAGAGCTATGCAAAAATTCAATTTTCTATAGAATTATAAATTTGAGTGAAAGAATAAATATGTACTGTATTTACTATTATCTTGTTAAAAACATACATTATATTTATTGTTTGGTGCCTAAATTTTTGTATTGCTAATTATTAATTAATGTCAACTGTCTTCTAGTCAATACTGGAACATGTACAGTAAAAAGTGAAACTATAAATCCATAACTAACGATGGATAAAATTTATCGCTAACTAGAGATATATGTGTTCTCAATGTGAGATGCACAATGTTATGTTAGAATTCAGAACGATAAGTTATAAAATCAAGGAGTGGGTTTGGGCTCAATATACAGTACTTATATTTATATATGTAAAGGAGGAAGTGTTATATATAGGTTGTAACCGGTGACTAAGGAATGAAGGGGAATAAAATAATTATCCTTCATTTCTTAATAATTATATCATTCACAAGGAATGTGAAGTTTATATTATTCCTTATCATTCCACATTAATTAGGGAATTTTAATGTTAAAATATTTCTTATAAAATATGAGAAATATGTTTTATATATTTTATTCCTCTTCATTCCATTTTTCCTTGTTTATTTTGTTCTTTTACATATCACTAGTTAAAGCAATAGTGTGGGGGGAAGGGGTGTGATGGATTAATGCCATCATTTCTCGTCTAAGACAACTGTTGCAAAGCCTTGGGATCGAAGGCTGGAGCTTGGGACACTAATCATGGCTTTTGAGGAATTATAATCATCTCCCTCTAATTGCAGTGAGAGAAAGAGAGCCTAAAAGGTACACTAGATAATACTACAATAATAAATATAAATAAATAAATAAATATATATATGCAAATACTGAAAAATACAAAAGTAGGGCATATACTCTAGAAAGAGAGTCCATGAGAGAGACGAATATCACATATATATATTATAAATATTATTTTTGTTCTTGTATTATTGAATGATTTTTATACTCCTTTCTTTTGAAGGTTTTATTGCTTTTTAGAATATAGGTACTTGAAATAGTAGAGAGAGAGAGAGGATAGTGTCAAGCTTAAAAAAAGCTAAGGTAATGTTATGTGATGTCCTTTTGAAAGGATTAGAGAGCTTTGAGAGGGCACATATATACAACAACAATTGCAAGTAACTACATCATCTTAATATAATTCTCTTGGGATTTTCAAGAGAAATTCTTGAAAAACCATCTTTCTTTTTCAACTTTCTTTACACACAAAGATATAAATACATATATACACAGATAAAGAGAACAGGTATAAGAAATATATATATCATCATCATCTGTCATACAAATGGACTCTACTAATCTACATCAACTTCAAGATCAGTTACAGCTTGTAGGGTCTTCTTCTTCTTCGTCTTCCTTGGACAATAAATCTGACCCTTCTTGCTATGGAGCTTCCTCTGCCCATCAATGGAGTCCAGGAGGTATTTCTTTGTAAGTCTCCTACTAACATACGCTCTGTCCTCTCTACTATCATGCATGTGTATTATATATGTAGGTACACACATACATGACCCTACATAATTATATAACACGTGAATGCTAATAGGTTTTTGCAGCTATTTGACTGTTTTGAATATTCCTATCAACTTGTCATGAAGAAATCGAATTTGGAATCTTTCTTCTTTTCTTGTTTCTGAAAGATGAGTTAGTGAGGAAGACAACAAGATAGAATTTAAGTGGCTGATAAAATAATAATTTTCTATTATTATAATTCTTCATATAACAAAATAAAGAATAACTTTGTGTGTGTTGTATAGTACTCTGAATTTTGCATTGATTCAAAATAAAGAAAAACTTTGTGTGGTTTTGTGGACAGGAATAGTGTGAGCTTGAGTCATAGCTATAACAATGAGATGTTAATTAACACAAGGAATCAAGACAACAATACAAGTGAATGTATGAGCCTCTCTAACATCCACAATCACTCCTTGATCCAACATCAAGACTTTCCATTACAATATCCTCATGACCAATCTTCCTATCATCATCACGATCAAGGGCTTCACAAGATAAAAGAAGAGCTTTCCTCATCAACTACCTCAGACCATCAACAAGGCATGCCCAAGTTCACAGACATGTTAAACAGTCCAGAGATCACAAACTATTTGAAGATCAATGAACACAAAGACTACAGTGAAAAGCTTCTTTTCAAGACTATATCTTCCGGGTTCCCCATTAATGTAGATTATTCCAGCAGCCTTCCCTCTTCTTCTTCTTCTTCTTCTTCTTCACCTTCTTCTCAGTCTCATCGAGGCAGTTTCAGTCAAATTTACCCAAGCGTGAACATATCGAGCTTGAGCGAGTCTCGGAGGATGAGCAAGGACATGAGCAACATCCCAAGACCATTTGATATGAACATGCAAGTTTTGGATGGAAGATTGTATGAAGGGAATGTCTTAGTTCCTCCAATAAATTCTCACGAGATTAGTAATTTTGGGATGAATAGAGGAAGCTTTCCTCCTTTTGGCGTCCCTTTTCATCATCATCTGCAACAAACACTTCACCACCCTTCTTCTTCACCTACTCATCAAGTAAGTTTATTATTGAATTATTACCTTTTATTCCTTTTATATTTTTTTTCTCCCTTCCCTATTCTTATAATTAGAAATGATGGCTTGGAAGGACTGTCTGGCAATGAATGTCGTGAAGTTAATTAGTGGATCATAAAGCATTACGTCTAGGGCTCGATTTCCTCATTTCTGAATATTTAAAATGTAGTTAAAAAAATACTAATTAGTACCATACGACGGCATTGTAACCTTTCAGCTTTTTTTTTTTTTTTTTTTTGAACAACAGTAACCTTTCAGCTTTATTCACATAATTTCATGCCAGTCATAAAATACTGTCCACAAGCTTAGTTTTCTGTATTTGTATTCACTTTTGTTTATTCATCAACCACATTCCACATAGATTGCATTATTACTATTCCAAGAACTTTTTGTTGCACACTTGAGATCATATAACAAGGTTAATAAATCTTATGTTTAAGTCGTGACAACTCAGAAAGAAAGAAGGAAAAAACTGGAGTTCGAAACATTATTATGATGAAGTAGGTAGATAAGATTAATTAGATTAGTGTAAAGGGCGAGACCTTTGTGCAATATCGGAGCTTTGTAACAAACAAAGATAACATGAATAATATATAAGTAAAACTTTTAATCTTTTCTTTCTATTCATCTTTTTCTTTGTTGTTGTGGTTCTTGGTTGGAGAGCCAAAGCTTGAGCTATAAAACCTTTTAACATAATTCATAAACAGCTCTCTTTAAGCTAAAACATCAACCTTTGTTCTCTCTTTTCTTTCCCTTTCTCTTTATTCTTTGCTTTGTTTTATTGTCTTTTAATGATCTCTTTTCTTTTCTCTCATTGTCGGGGGTATTATTACGTACTATTATTGTTCTTTACATCGAATAACAATTATAAACGAAACGATGATATATATTATATATATATATTACTGATTAAGGGTTTTGATTTGTGTTGAAGATGGAAATGTTCAGCAGCGAACCTCAAACAAGCGAAGGGAAGAGACATAACTTCTTGATGGCGACAAAGGCAGGCGAAAATGCTTCCAAGAAACCGCGCGTGGAATCACGCTCCTCTTGCCCACCCTTCAAGGTTACTTCTTCTGTTCATTTATGGATATATAATTGTCCCCTAATTAATTGTTTTCTTTATTTTTCCTTGTAGAAAGAAAAGAATTATGAATATATTTTAGTAGTTAACAAGACAGTGTCCTGTAGAGAACTTTGAATTTAAACTGCACTTTTATTATTCAAACAAATAAGAAAACTGTTTACAAGCATTAAGACATTTTAAATAATTATTTTACTCAAGATTGAGATTGATTGTTCATTAAAGTGATACTATGTTGGCTCTCAAAAAAATAGGTGAGGAAAGAAAAGTTAGGAGACAGAATAGCAGCTCTGCAACAATTGGTTTCACCCTTTGGGAAGGTATCAGCAACAAATAATTTCACCCATTTTGTTCTACACTCGATTAACTCATTCATTCTACTAATATTTCATTTTTTATCTAGACATGCAGTTATAAAAATTATAGCATCGAACAAAATTAGAAATCTTGTCAAAATTTTTAGTTTTTCAAGCCAACACATAGGAGGATAGAACCGTCAAGTTTAAGTATCAGTTTTTTTCATTGCAGAATTTAGTAACTGAAATTTTTTGATCTTATTGATTCATTACCTTTTTGAATGTGAGTGAGACCAGTTTTTAATAATGTATAGATATCGGAGTGTAATCATAATATGATACTTATATGAAAAGTAATTTGATCACAATATAAAAAAAGTTTTTTCCTACCATTTATAAAGCTTGTATTGATTTTCGAGAATTTTCAAAAAGTAGATAAAGTTGTTTTCGTGCTCATATGTAGATAAAAGTACATTAGCTGAGCAGATTAAATTGCTAAAGTGCAGACAGATACAGCATCTGTATTGATGGAGGCAATAGGATACATCAAATTCCTACAGAGCCAGATTGAGGTAACTTCACTGCATCCATTTCATACACATCCATACACGCGTATACGTATTTACATGTGTCCATGTTTTAATTTTATACATAGAACATAGATGTTTGAATAAGAAGATATAGATACAAATTATTTAAGAATGAATTTGGATCAGTGGTATTTACATGGCACCTTCGGAAAATAATAGCTAGATATATTTAACTCCATGTTACTTAATTCCAGATATTCTTCTTGATCGTCGTCCGGTTTTGTCAACTATTCTCAAATTTTTATATCAATACGAACTAAAATATTATATTATCTACTTTCACAAAAAATATATATATACCATATTATCTATTAAGAAATTTAACACAGCTAGAACACAGCGGAATTATTAAACTTTAAAAGACTATGGAGTATGGGCTAATCCTTACACTTTTATCGGAAAAGTTCCATAGGCTTTTAACTTGCCTTTAAAGCAAGATATTAGTTAGAATTTATCCTATTTTTATTTATTTATCATATCCTCTTTGGCGCACTACGTAGTAACTAGTTAGTACCTTTATCCTATAGTATGTTTTTATTAATTTTAATAGATATCTTATAATATATATAAAACTATATAAAGGTCGATGTGTGCAACGTGGTTGCGACACGTAGAATTTTATAATTTATAGGATTGTCATATGTGTCACTTTTAATATTTTGTCCATTAAGATCGTGACAAGTGTTTCAAAGAAAAATAAAATAAAAAATACATTAAAAAAATTATATTTATCATATCCTAATAGAAAAAAGGTTTTCCATTCATCAAAATTATATTACACATATTAAATTCAAAATAATGTAGTAAATAAAATCCTATTAATAAATGGAATAGGTTATGTAATCTAAATTTCTTATAACTGCATGGAATAGGTTACATGAACCCCTAAGGTAGTCTCTTTTTGTCTCATTCACAAACTCATTAAAGAAAATTCATTAAATCTATTTGATTATCTTTTTCTAATTTAAAAAATCATGTCTTTGAAAATTCAAGAAAAGAGTGAAGACAATTTGACTCTAAGTTAATTGGATCGAAATTGAAATTATCGTTGTACTATAGGACGTGTTATTCGGAAGTGGGAAAATAGAAATCATAAAGAAAATAATATCCTTATTAGAGTTGAGCTTCTATTAGTTGATGAAAAGGTTAGTAACATATATTATATTGAGAGATTAATCATAATTGATTACTTGAATTGTAAAAAAAATTAACTAATTGTGTGCACACAAATAATAAAAGGAAATAATGAACACATTATAAAAGGAAAATCTAATAAAGAAAAGGAAAATCTATGATGGTTCAAGGCAAAAAAAGTTGAAAGAAAACCAATATATGACATATATAGTTATCAAGCAATTAACTAATATAAAAAAGAAATATAATGAATCAATATTCTAATTATAAATAGCTTAATTTTCATTTTTTAGATAAAACAAGATAAAAAAGATTTCAACAACTGAAATCTCTTGGATAGAATAAATCAAGTCATAAATTAATAAATCGATCGGATTTAGACCCGTGTAAGTATTTCTATATTAGACAAAACAAAAAAAAGTTAATTCATTTCTCATATCATGAATTCAAAAAATATGTTAATTATAATTAAACCATTAGAAAATGACCAATCTTATTATTCTACTTACTTTTAAAAGTAATCTGATTTTGTTTAATATTTTTCTGTATTTTTTTTTTTAAAATCAAATAGGGCCTAATCTAATACATGTCTATATAAGCTGATGGTCGTGGCCATCATTTTATATTTAAAGATATATAGATAAAATAGTAAAGTTGTGATAAACTTTGTTTGCGATCAAGACATGTAACAAAGTGGTTAGTGTCAGACTGTTAGCACTGTTTTTGTGTCATCACTCTGGTTCATATCCGTATATTACCTGTTAGCAAAAAAAAATTGATAAACTTTGTTGTTTGATTGATATATGGGCAGACTCTTAGCGTCCCCTACATGAGAGCATCTAGGAACCGACCCGGAAAAGCTTCGCACCTGGTAAGAACCTATAATACATTACTAGCTTGCCTAAAAAACAATCACTCAAATTATATTATTTGGTCGAAAATATACTTATTTAAAATTAATTAGGGGTCATTACCACAAGAAGCGGATGAGGAAGAGACCAGAGATCTAAGAAGCCGTGGGCTATGTCTCGTGCCATTATCATGCATGACTTATGTTACCGGGGATGGCGGGGATGGAGGAGGCGGTGTTGGTAGCGGGTTTTGGCCAACGCCGCCTGGTTTTGGTGGTGGAACTTAGCCGTGGACTTAACAACCAGTAGGACTATGAGTATATTTATCGGAATTGGAGGTAGAGAGAAGGATAAAAATTGTTGAAGGTGGATAAGTAGTTCTTTGATCTCTTTTGGTTTTGGTTTATTCGTAAGATGGTTTTGGTTTTTGATAGTGGATCAAAGTTGGTCGTTCTGATTAAAATTAATAAGCAATTCCAGGATAGACCAGCTTTGATCCATTTATTACTAGTATTTAGTACTAAGACTTGACGATATGTTTTCTACATACATTAAGGGTTTTGAGAGGCTAAATAAAAGATCAAATAGCTATAACTTGGATTATTTTGTTCATCTATTTTTATGTCAATATCACAAATTAACAGTCTGTAACAAAATAGTGCATATATTACAAGGTCTTGCCAAAATTTCGCCATATAGAAAGAAAAAGGTATGCGTGATCAAAATCTTGCGTCATCCTCACGTTATATGTGCATGTACTTGTAATATTGTTTCTCGAAATCTGAATAAAAACTACTTCTCAAAATTTCGTTAAGTTGATGGTTATCTGGGTCGGAAGGCTTAGGATATGCCGAGTCACTCCCTGTCGTCAGTTTTTTTTTTTAATTATTATTATTGAAGAATGTTATTTTCTAAGAATATTCCTCATTCTACTCATATCCATTGGTGTATCACCAAATTAAAAATCCGCTACGGATAGTAACATTTAGGTACTATGTAGCTTTGAAACATTAGCGTGATATTTTTGAAGGATTTTTCGTCGTACAGATCAGTAAATAGATTATATGACTTGGTCGGAAGCCAAGAGGAATTGAAAAACATAGGAGAAGATTACGGCGTCTTGTAGGTTTTCTCAAGGAGAGTTTTTGTCTTTTTTTTTGTTAGATAGGAGGAGAAATATTGGTATGAATTGTACCGTGTAAGAGAAAATGTAAAAATCAGATTCTTTCCAATTGAAGGAGAATGTCAAATTGTATTAGAAAATATGAAAATCACAAAAAATGTCTTGCTCAAACTTGTATACTTGATCAATAACAAAAATCCAAGTCATATATACGATTGTTTTCACTCACCTTTATTGCTGTCTATATTACATATTAGACATTTGAATATTCCACAGATGAGTTATGAGTGGATGCAAAATACTTATTTTCATAACTCATATTTGGTTGCTATACGCTTTTATCTTTCCGAGAGTGCATATTCTGCAAGCGTTCTTCGTACCGGATAGTCACATGCCAAAGATGGTCTAACCCATCGAATTGTCTAAAATTTTGATTGGACACGAAGACCCCGAGGACCACTCCAAGAAACCATATACTTAAATCAATTTTTTGGCACTGCATGATATGGCAAAATTCAACTATTATGGCGTTTAATTTAGTCGTCTAAACTTGATTGCACGATCATAAATAAAACGCCTAAACGGGAGTGAAAATGCATTTAAGAATTAACCAAGAGTAACAAAAGCAAGAGTGTATGTAAACTCTAAAGGGTAGACAACACCCGGGCAAAAAAACTCGGGAAAAATCAGACATTAACCAAGTCAATTAAATGATTGATGAAACTACTTCTCAGACGTACGTGCACATTTGGGCAAGTTGCTCAAGTTAAGCCATTTCTTTCTTGGTCTATGTGCATCCGGAGTTCGAGTCCAACAAAATTTAGTGTAGCCAAATGGCCCGTGACCGTGAGCTGGAGAAAAACAATAAAATATATAGATAGCTTATATACGTTTCATGAGCAGTATTGGTTCTATGGTGTAGTGGTTAGCACTCTGGACTTTGAATCCAGCGACCTGAGTTCGACTCTCGGTAGGACCTTATTTTTTGTCATCCATTTTCTTTTTTAACAAAGAACCAAAGCGATGTCATATTGCCATTCTCTCTGAATGGTCTCATTTTGATTTAAACCGCCAAAACCTTTCTTTCTTGAAACGTATCAGAAACATTATTACATTTATTAAGTTTTGATGAAGGAGATGATTAAGATAAGGGAACGTACAAGACAGTTCTCACTTCTAGTTTTATAAGAACACGACTTAGGTAGATATGATTAACACTAATGATTAATGAATCCAAGAAATATATATCCAAATTGAAAGTTAAAAGGCTATTTAATATTTAATAATTATATTTCACGGCTTCATCCATTCCTTCAACAACATCTTCTTCTTCCCAGCGATAAACGTCTCCACTGTTGATCTAAACTCATCGCTACTCAGATCATCTATGTCGCTCAACCGTCTTATGTTCCGACGAATATCTCCCCGTAGGTCAAGCCTCTCTGATCTCGACCTCCTGTAAACCAGACGATCAGTGGCACTCTCACTAGTAGCTAGGGGCACAAACATCATTTCACGTTTCCTCCTTATAGTAGCATGAGCTGTCTCAGCCACCGAGCTAATCGCCCGGACCATCTCTCGCCTCGGTCGAGCCTCTCCGGTACCGGAGGTAAAGTCCGTCTCTAGCTTTACCTCTGAAGTCTTTACTTCATTGTGATAAGACCCCGACGATTTTGAGACTACGGCAGAGGAAGAGCAACCGCCGGGAGCATCAGCGGAGGAGCAACCGCCGAGAGATGCAGAGGAGTAGGAGGAAACGTATTCAAAGTACAGATCAGGTTCGCTTAGCTTATGGTGGTTAGATAAGGAGAAGATCAGGGCGATGAGAACGTTCACGACGCTGAACAAGAATATTTCGCCCGTAAAGCCAGTGGAAACAATCTGCCGAAGATATTCACCGGTGGAGACAGTCGGAGTCAACCAAGAGAGTAGAAGTAAGACGACGACGAGAGCTTCAATAGCCGGAAGAAACTTCCAGAACTTTCTCTTTTCCTTGAACCTCCTCATGGCATCAACTTTCTCAGCCGCAACATTCTCGGAAACAAACGAAGCCATTTTTATTTTATTTTTCAAAACTCTCTTTTAAGTTGGAAACTCCAGGGAAATGAAGGTTTTAAGTAAAGTGGATATGATGATCACTTTGAATGGTCTAATCACTAATGGAATGATTTGGTGGGGGAATTTATATAGAGATTATAAATACTCTATAATTGGTTGAGTTTGTTTTGGGGTTAAAGCTATAATTGGTTGAATTATTGAGACATATGGATATTATCATATTTGTTTATAGTTTGGTCGTGGAAATTTCATGACTAAAAAGCATTAGGTGAATAAGTCCAATTCCACAAGGAAAAAAAGAACTTATTGATGGAATTATTGAGGACAACTTGAATAAAGTGTGAGTATAAATATAAATAAATAAGAGAAGAATTGGTTAAAAAGAGTTGGCGAGGAGAGAAAGGGCAGGTGAAGAAGCTGCACTGTACAACAACGACCGGGCCAATTTAGCACGCTTGGGCGACGTACACCCGCCGGACGAAACTTGACACGTGTTTTGTACCCATTATGATTTTGGTATCTTCATTGTACGTTTTCAAAATAATAATAGAGTATCAATGACTAGAATTATCATCATTCCTATCAATTTTTAGCATTAGTTTAATTTGAGGTAAATTTATGAAGAACCAATTAATCTATGGAGGAGATAGAATCCATAAATATATATTTTCGGGTACATAAATCTATGAAGAACCCAAATTGATGTTACAACTCTTACTTTGAAAGAGTTAGGTTTGCGCGTCTCTGTGTGGAAGTGGATTTGCGTAAGCCGCTTAAGAGCACAATAATAATCAATGGGGAGCAATACTTTGTGGCGTATGAAGGTCTTAATAATATTTTTTCAAGGTGTGGTTTATACGGTCATGCAGTTCATTCATGCCCTAAGAGAGGAGATGAGGAAGTCGTAATTGAGGGTACAATTTCGCCAGAGAAGAGCCAAAGAACTTCTCCTCCGGTAGGGGCGGGTCAACTCACAAGCGGCTGATGGTTTCACTACGGTGAGGGCCCCTCGCCATCGTAATGAGCTGTCGGCAAAGGAGGTGGTTTTTTCTGCCAGGGTTAAAGGAGGAGATCTAGGGAATAAGAATCCAAGACAATTGAGAAAACTAGATACGCGAGATATTGTCATATCAAATAGTTATGAAAATTTGAATGATGACGTGGGGGCTGAGGAGATCACGGAAGAAGTTATGCATATTAAAGGAAGTATGAAAACTACATCTCGTATCCCGGATGTTAGGGAACGGAGTGTCGAGCAAGGCAAGAGAGTATCCGCACATGTAGAGAAATTCAAAAGCAATATTCGTGGAGGGAGTAAGAAGAAAATGAATGGGCCATGCCGAGCATTTGCGACTAATGGGCCCAGGCCCAGGTGAGCTAACCAGCCCAACCTACGAGAGGCCTATTTTTTGGCCCGATTGGTGAGAATAACGAGTAAACGTCTTAGAGTGGAGAAGATGAGTTTTGGTTGGTCAGGTGGATCAGTGGTGAAAGCCGGTGAGGGGTTCAGCGATGTCTCCGGTTTGAGGTCCAGGAGATTGAGGGTGGTACTACACTGGCGTTGGCTAGTCCGGAGGATCGGGAAGATCCGAGAAGAGGAACGCCGAGGGTTTCGCCAGAGACTGGATCGGCGATGTTGGAGTAATGGGTTTCCCTGGCAGTTCACAATACTCTCTACTATACAATGATGAATTGTATTTTATGGAAGTGCCGGGGGGGGGGCGAACAGACCCAACTTTCATAGGTCGATTCGCTACTTATTGAAGAAGTTTCATACTAATATGTTGACAATCTTTGAAACCCATGTTGGTGTAGATAGAGGAGAGCGTATTTGCCGTGGTCTAGGTTTCGATAACTCGTACCGTGTGGACGCGGCTGGACAGAGTGGAGGCTTATGGTTGTTTTGGCGTTCATGGATTGGGAATGTTACGGTCATTGAGTCTTCGGACCAGATTATCCAAGCGTGTGTGGTCAACGGTGAAGAGATGTTGAACCTCATCATCATTTACGCAGCTCCCTCGGTTATTCGAAGAAGTGGGTTGTGGGAGAAGCTAAGAGAGGTGGTCCAGGGAGTGACTGGTCCCGTGCTAGTAGGTGGAGACTTCAACACCATTGTCCGGTTAGATGAAAGGTCGGGTGGCAACGGTCGGCTTTCAGCTGACTCCGTGGCGTTTAGCCAATGGATGAACGAGCTATCGCTCATTGATTTGAGGTTCAAAGGTAATGCCTTTACGTGGAAGAGGGGACGAGTGGAGAGAAACATCGTCAAGAAGAGATTGGATAGGGTGCTTTGCTGCACTCAAGCTCGTCTAAAATGGCAGGAGGCCACAGTTACTCACCTTCCTTTTTTTCTTCTGACCATGCGCTGCTCTACCTGCAATTCTGCCGAGTGAAGAGTGGTGATCCGAAGCGCCCCCCGTTCCGCTTTGAAGCAGTTGGTTAACGAACATCGCATTTCAGGATCTGTTGGTGGCATCTTGGAACGTAAAAGTGAGTACACCACCAGTATTGGAACATGGCTAACAACCCAAGATATACATTTTTTTTCTTTTATATATTATTCATTGTATTTTTTGTATGGCTAACTTTTATAAACCAACCTTTAATTTATGAACTTTCTCAAAAATTACTGGTTAAGAGAAAATGTTGAAATATTTATTTGGCGGGTTAAGCCAGCCCATGTAGTAGTGCAATACATAGGCGACTCTCGAGAATCCAGATAGCAAGCTACCTTAATGGATTTTCTCCCTTAAAAAATAGAGTTAATATCGTGTGGGCCGATGACCCACATATCAGATATTAAACTGATAAGAACAGATACTACACTTGATCTTAGCCAAAAGGCCGAGAAAGGTATGATTTGTAAGTTGGCATAGATACTCTTTTTATACTACCAAGTTCTCCACCAACGCTTCTCAAGTTTACCGATGTGGGACTTATTAAATATTCTAAATAATCTTGAGAATTCATATTGAATTTCAATGAGCCATCTAAACCCAACTTTACAATTGGTGATAGACTATACCTTTCAAAATTATTATTTTCAACCGTGAAATGAATAAAACAGTCTGTGTTTTGTTTCTTGTTGTTTTGAAGTCTTGCTTCAGACATGAAACTCAAATCTCCAACAAGAATAATCAAAAAAATTAAATCAAGGAGAGGATTAGAGTCGAAATCCGTGTGAACAAGTTTTTCACAGCAAAAACATTGATGAACATGGCTAACCAACCCAAGATATACATTTATTTTTCTTTTATATATTATTCATTGTATTTTTTGTATGGCTAACTTTTATAAACCAACCTTTAATTTATGAACTTTCTCAAAAATTACTGGTTAAGAGAAAATGTTGAAATATTTATTTGGCGGGTTAAGCCAGGCCCATGTAGTAGTGCAATACATAGGCGACTCTCGAGAATCCAGATAGCAAGCTACCTTAATGGATTTTCTCCCTTAAAAAATAGAGTTAATATCGTGTGGGCCGATGACCCACATATCAGATATTAAACTGATAAGAACAGATACTACACTTGATCTTAGCCAAAAGGCCGAGAAAGGTATGATTTGTAAGTTGGCATAGATACTCTTTTTATACTACCAAGTTCTCCACCAACGCTTCTCAAGTTTACCGATGTGGGACTTATTAAATATTCTAAATAATCTTGAGAATTCATATTGAATTTCAATGAGCCATCTAAACCCAAGTTTACAATTGGTGATAGACTATACCTTTCAAAATTATTATTTTCAACCGTGAAGTGAATAAAACAGTCTGTGTTTTGTTTCTTGTTGTTTTGAAGTCTTGCTTCAGACATGAAACTCAAATCTCCAACAAGAATAATCAAAAAAATTAAATCAAGGAGAGGATTAGAGTCGAAATCCGTGTGAACAAGTATTTCACAGCAAAAACATTGATGAACATGGCTAACCAACCCAGGATATACATTTATTTTTCTTTTATATATTATTCATTGTATTTTTTGTATGGCTAACTTTTATAAACCAACCTTTAATTTATGAACTTTCTCAAAAATTACTGGTTAAGAGAAAATGTTGAAATATTTATTTGGCGGGTTAAGCCAGCCCATGTAGTAGTGCAATACATAGGCGACTCTCGAGAATCCAGATAGCAAGCTACCTTAATGGATTTTCTCCCTTAAAAAATAGAGTTAATATCGTGTGGGCCGATGACCCACATATCAGATATTAAACTGATAAGAACAGATACTACACTTGATCTTAGCCAAAAGGCCGAGAAAGGTATGATTTGTAAGTTGGCATAGATACTCTTTTTATACTACCAAGTTCTCCACCAACGCTTCTCAAGTTTACCGATGTGGGACTTATTAAATATTCTAAATAATCTTGAGAATTCATATTGAATTTCAATGAGCCATCTAAACCCAAGTTTACAATTGGTGATAGACTATACCTTTCAAAATTATTATTTTCAACCGTGAAGTGAATAAAACAGTCTGTGTTTTGTTTCTTGTTGTTTTGAAGTCTTGCTTCAGACATGAAACTCAAATCTCCAACAAGAATAATCAAAAAAATTAAATCAAGGAGAGGATTAGAGTCGAAATCCGTGTGAACAAGTATTTCACAGCAAAAACATTGATGAACATGGCTAACCAACCCAGGATATACATTTATTTTTCTTTTATATATTATTCATTGTATTTTTTGTATGGCTAACTTTTATAAACCAACCTTTAATTTATGAACTTTCTCAAAAATTACTGGTTAAGAGAAAATGTTGAAATATTTATTTGGCGGGTTAAGCCAGGCCCATGTAGTAGTGCAATACATAGGCGACTCTCGAGAATCCAGATAGCAAGCTACCTTAATGGATTTTCTCCCTTAAAAAATAGAGTTAATATCGTGTGGGCCGATGACCCACATATCAGATATTAAACTGATAAGAACAGATACTACACTTGATCTTAGCCAAAAGGCCGAGAAAGGTATGATTTGTAAGTTGGCATAGATACTCTTTTTATACTACCAAGTTCTCCACCAACGCTTCTCAAGTTTACCGATGTGGGACTTATTAAATATTCTAAATAATCTTGAGAATTCATATTGAATTTCAATGAGCCATCTAAACCCAAGTTTACAATTGGTGATAGACTATACCTTTCAAAATTATTATTTTCAACCGTGAAGTGAATAAAACAGTCTGTGTTTTGTTTCTTGTTGTTTTGAAGTCTTGCTTCAGACATGAAACTCAAATCTCCAACAAGAATAATCAAAAAAATTAAATCAAGGAGAGGATTAGAGTCGAAATCCGTGTGAACAAGTATTTCACAGCAAAAACATTGATGAACATGGCTAACCAACCCAGGATATACATTTATTTTTCTTTTATATATTATTCATTGTATTTTTTGTATGGCTAACTTTTATAAACCAACCTTTAATTTATGAACTTTCTCAAAAATTACTGGTTAAGAGAAAATGTTGAAATATTTATTTGGCGGGTTAAGCCAGGCCCATGTAGTAGTGCAATACATAGGCGACTCTCGAGAATCCAGATAGCAAGCTACCTTAATGGATTTTCTCCCTTAAAAAATAGAGTTAATATCGTGTGGGCCGATGACCCACATATCAGATATTAAACTGATAAGAACAGATACTACACTTGATCTTAGCCAAAAGGCCGAGAAAGGTATGATTTGTAAGTTGGCATAGATACTCTTTTTATACTACCAAGTTCTCCACCAACGCTTCTCAAGTTTACCGATGTGGGACTTATTAAATATTCTAAATAATCTTGAGAATTCATATTGAATTTCAATGAGCCATCTAAACCCAAGTTTACAATTGGTGATAGACTATACCTTTCAAAATTATTATTTTCAACCGTGAAGTGAATAAAACAGTCTGTGTTTTGTTTCTTGTTGTTTTGAAGTCTTGCTTCAGACATGAAACTCAAATCTCCAACAAGAATAATCAAAAAAAATTAAATCAAGGAGAGGATTAGAGTCGAAATCCGTGTGAACAAGTATTTCACAGCAAAAACATTGATGAACATGGCTAACCAACCCAGGATATACATTTATTTTTCTTTTATATATTATTCATTGTATTTTTTGTATGGCTAACTTTTATAAACCAACCTTTAATTTATGAACTTTCTCAAAAATTACTGGTTAAGAGAAAATGTTGAAATATTTATTTGGCGGGTTAAGCCAGGCCCATGTAGTAGTGCAATACATAGGCGACTCTCGAGAATCCAGATAGCAAGCTACCTTAATGGATTTTCTCCCTTAAAAAATAGAGTTAATATCGTGTGGGCCGATGACCCACATATCAGATATTAAACTGATAAGAACAGATACTACACTTGATCTTAGCCAAAAGGCCGAGAAAGGTATGATTTGTAAGTTGGCATAGATACTCTTTTTATACTACCAAGTTCTCCACCAACGCTTCTCAAGTTTACCGATGTGGGACTTATTAAATATTCTAAATAATCTTGAGAATTCATATTGAATTTCAATGAGCCATCTAAACCCAAGTTTACAATTGGTGATAGACTATACCTTTCAAAATTATTATTTTCAACCGTGAAGTGAATAAAACAGTCTGTGTTTTGTTTCTTGTTGTTTTGAAGTCTTGCTTCAGACATGAAACTCAAATCTCCAACAAGAATAATCAAAAAAATTAAATCAAGGAGAGGATTAGAGTCGAAATCCGTGTGAACAAGTATTTCACAGCAAAAACATTGATGAACATGGCTAACCAACCCAGGATATACATTTATTTTTCTTTTATATATTATTCATTGTATTTTTTGTATGGCTAACTTTTATAAACCAACCTTTAATTTATGAACTTTCTCAAAAATTACTGGTTAAGAGAAAATGTTGAAATATTTATTTGGCGGGTTAAGCCAGGCCCATGTAGTAGTGCAATACATAGGCGACTCTCGAGAATCCAGATAGCAAGCTACCTTAATGGATTTTCTCCCTTAAAAAATAGAGTTAATATCGTGTGGGCCGATGACCCACATATCAGATATTAAACTGATAAGAACAGATACTACACTTGATCTTAGCCAAAAGGCCGAGAAAGGTATGATTTGTAAGTTGGCATAGATACTCTTTTTATACTACCAAGTTCTCCACCAACGCTTCTCAAGTTTACCGATGTGGGACTTATTAAATATTCTAAATAATCTTGAGAATTCATATTGAATTTCAATGAGCCATCTAAACCCAAGTTTACAATTGGTGATAGACTATACCTTTCAAAATTATTATTTTCAACCGTGAAGTGAATAAAACAGTCTGTGTTTTGTTTCTTGTTGTTTTGAAGTCTTGCTTCAGACATGAAACTCAAATCTCCAACAAGAATAATCAAAAAAATTAAATCAAGGAGAGGATTAGAG